CTACACCAGGCCAGAATCTGCCTAGACTTATGTACGAAGTCATTACTTAAACAACCATGTTGGTTTTAGTGCCATAGATTTTATAGTGCTTTGAACGGATAGCCACGAGGAATCATGATGGATTGGGCATGTGGGGGGCGGCCATATAAGTTGAAACCAAACAAATAATGAAAATGTTTCCAGCACAGTCTGAGAATGGCCAGCTTCTCACCCTTAAATGATTGGGATATTTAACTGGGCAATCAACAAATTGTGAACTTGTCCAATCGTTCTGCCAAAAGCTTCTATTGTTCGAAAGAATAGCAAACACAAATCCGTTAATAACAAAATCTACATTAAAAACCGGAAGGACGGGAAAGCATTTTAATGAGCCCTAATAAAGTTTTGACTTTTTTTAAAACTGTCTTTTGTTTTGTTTTTTTACTTCCCCACCCCTTCTTCATTTCCTTTATTTGGCATCCAAGCGCTCATTTAGATGCTTTATTCACAAAACAGGATTCCTAATAACTTGGACAAAGCCGATCCTGTTCATTAGTGGCCATTCTTGAGAAGTTGGTGAACCAGCTGTTTGGCACGGGGGACGAGGAGGGTGGGTGGCTACGGCAGCCTCGCGGGTGCCAAAAATGGACTTGGGAATCCAATTGTGAAAGGACTCAAGTCCTCGCTTTGAACACGCCGATTGTTTGGCCTTCCTCGTCCGTGATGCTCCTAATTAGGTGGGTTTCTAATTCCCCCTCCCGCTTTCTCCCCCTGATGGGTTTGCGACTCCTGTGTGGTCTTTTTTTAGTTATTGAGGCTCTTCTCTTCCCGAGCATCTCTTTTTTTCCCCCCCCATTTCTGTTCGCTCTCTCCCTTTTGACAACATTGCTGCGGAGATCATGTGATGTTCCCCTGGTTTATTTTAGGAGCCAACATGACCTCAGGTCGTAAGGAAAGGAAGGCTGCACATGTTCTTCGGTCTGGAAAGATTATCTGCCCCATGGAGGCTCTCTCGCCAGCCAGGTGGCATGATCAGATGGGGCCAGCTGCAAAGGGAAGCACGCGCCTCCCTGTCACAGCCTGCGTTTTCATGCAAGAGCTGGCAGAGAAAAACAGAGGAGACAGGCCCCCAAATAGGCCAGGGTCGTGCCAGTTCTGCCAGGCTAGAGTGGAGGTGTTGCCTCTAACCATGATTTGAAGACAGCAGGGACCAAGAGCCAGGGGGACTCCACTCCAATCAAGGTGAACTTCACCGAAATGAAAAGAAGCATGGAATTTTGGCATTTCTCCCCTCTCGGTTCTGCCTCGTTCACAATGGCGACTGGATGACAGTTCACGGAGCCAGCAGGTCGATGTGGGCTCTTAAATCTGAAGTTGGGTATCTCTGATCGAAGCTACACCAAGCAGACTGAGCTGCAGCATCTTAAGAACTTGGTTTGCTGGTTTGGTGTAGAGCAGGGGTAGTCAACCTTGGCTCTTTTATGACTCGTGGACTTCAACTCCCAGAATTCCTGAGCCAGCTGTGCTGGCTCAGGAGTTCTGGGAGTTGAAGTCCACGAGTCATAAAAGAGCCAAGGTTGACTACCCCTGGTGTAGAGGATAAGATGCTGGTCTGGGAACATAAGAGATGGTGAATTCTAGTCCCGTCTTAGACATGAAAGCCAGCTGGGTGACTGAGCTGATCACTAGGAGACAGTGAGTTCTAGTCCCGCCTTAGGCATGAAAGCCGGCTGGATGACTTTGGGCCAATCACCAGGAGACGGAGAGTTCTATTCCCGCCTTAAACATGAAAGTTGGGGTGACTTTGGGCCAATCACCAGGAGACGGTGAGTTCTAGTCCCTAGTTCTGTCAATTCACCAACCGTTTCTCCGTGTTGGGGAATACCAAATTTTTCCACTTTTGTGCATTTTCCATCTGGACTTTTAATTAATTGCTTTTTTCTTCTCTCCTTATTTTGCTCTCCTTTCCCATTTTGGAACCAGGAGAGAAATGTTAACATTCCTAGATACCGGTCCACATTAATGTTCCTTTTCCAGCTGCTCCATTCAGTGTTAGGATTATATGAGATTAATAACAATGTTGGCGATCTTCAGAAAATGAGTAAAAGCCGGGGTGGTGCAGTGGTTAGAGGGCAGTACTGCAGGCTACTTCTTCTGGCTGCCAGCAGTTCGATCCTGATCGGCTCAAGGTTGACTCAGTCTTCCATCCTTCCAAGGTCAGTAAAATGAGGACCCAGATTGTTGGGGGCAAGATGCTGACTTTGTAAACCGCTTAGAGAGGGGCTGTGAAGAACTATGAAGAAGTCTAAGTGCTCTTGCTGTTGCTATTTCGGCTGTGCCAAAATGAGCCGGATTTTCTGTCCAGCTGACGACACGGCAAGTGACTTGCTGAGCATGTGCAGGGATGACCTTAAGTGATGGTGAACATGGCCTTTTGGCACACTGTCTAGCCTCGTGTCACACAATCCCTTGTTCAAAGACCCGGGTGAATCCCGGAATAAAGAACAGAAATGGGAAAATAAGGTAGACTGGGACTGGTGATGTTACCTAGCTGGGTAATGAAATGTCTGCAAGAAAACAGACAGGCTCAGAGAGCACCAAGGACCCTTCAAAGGTAGATTTGGGATGCAGGAAAGAACAACCTGACCACCTGGGAATCACACCGCTATGGTCTCTCTCTCACACACACAAAGGGTGATTGCCCTTGGAAGACAATTCTGCAACCTGGCATTTTTTTCCTGGTGGATGGGGGGGGGGGAACCAAACCTTAATAGTTTCTCAGCTCAAGAATCTGAAAAATTAAAAAGCCCCGTCTCTTCGTTCATCTGCTGCTTCCTGCGTTTTTCAGATTCCTGATTGCAGGAAGAGGCGCACCAAACATTAGACCCAGCTGTCCGTTCCAACAACGCAGGCGAGCTATTCTTTTCCCTAACGTTCTGATCATCAAGGAAGGTGACAGTCAAATGGCCTCTGAAAAGTTCAGCTCCGATTGTAACCGGAGAAGGAACGTGGTGCGAAAGACTCCGTTTCCGCCCCTTGTCCCAAAACAGAAAGACTTAATTTCACCTTGTCCGTTTTATTATCCTTCGTTCAGTTATGTAACTGGAACAAACACACATTATAATTCTGAGAGATTACATATGAGAGAAAGAGAAAGAGAGAGAGAGAGAGAGAGAGAGAGAGAGAGAGAGAGAGAGAGAGAGAGAGAGAGAGAGAGAGAGAGAGAGAGAGAGAGAGAGAGAGAGAGAAATATGCATCGTTTTGTACAATTTAGGGAGGTATAATCCTATTTTCTTTGTTTTTTCCACTGATTGGCAGGTTAGAAGGCAGATCAGAGTAGCTATCTTGCCTTTTTTGACCTCTCTGCCCTCATTCCTGAAAGGGGCCACTGAATCATGGAAAGAACCGGAGGAAACCAAAGGCATAGTTGTCTTGAAAGTGCTTTAAGAGAAAGAAGCTTTTAAATGCTCAGTATCTGGCTACAAGATACATACATTATTTTATGTACCAAAAAATAAAAATAACTGTGGCCAAACCCTCCTGCCTGGCCCCGACATAAGCTGCCCAAATGAAGTTTCTGAGTTTGCAGGCTCTCTGTATTGGGGAAAAAAATGATTTAAAGTTCTCAACTTGCTGTTTGAAGATACGGTGACCGGTTGCTTTGGTTCATAAATTGCACTAAGGCTGTGGCGTGAACCAGGCTAGATTGTAAACCCTGGTTAATGGCGATGGTGCCCTATGGCCCCAGAAAACTACGATTTAAATCATAAATAAAAACCCAATCAGGTCTTGATGCAGTGTTTCTCAAACTTGGCAACTGTTAAGATGGCTGGACTTCAACTCCCAGAATTGTTCAGCCAGCTCTGCACCTGGCCGGCCTTGGGACACCCCCTGGCTGGTGACCCCTGCCTGATTGGGGCCATTCCCAGTAGCGAAAGGGGGGCTGTGCCAGCCCCCACTTCCAATGCCACAGTTGTATTGAAGGGCACTTCTAACACACTCTCCAAGCTAACGTGGGCTGCTTGAGCCTTTGCTTCCAACCTTGGTTTGTGGAGGAATGCCATGGAGAGCATCGCTGATGGGGGAGAAGAGAGGGAGGACCACAGATTGTCTCACTGTCACAGCTGGGACCACAAGAACTTTGCAAAACAACTGGGGTGGCTCAAGAACAGATGACAAACTCTTTGTCTTACTGGGGTTGAACGGGACAGGACAGAGTGGACCATAATTGGGGGGGGGGGGGAGAAACCAGGTAGCTTTTGCATTAGTGGAACATAACTCATCTTTTCTTTGTTCATCTACTTGGTCTAAATCAGTTTAAACACCCAAATTCAAATTTTCTGACAGTGAGAACCAATGGAACAGCTTGCCTGGAGGTTTTCAAGAAAAAAAAATTGGACAGCCATTTGTCCAGGATATTATAAGGTCTCCTTGCCTTGGGCAAAGGGTTAGATTAGACCACAGGTCGGCAACCTGCGGCTCCGGAGCTGAATGCGGCTCTTTGAGCCTTCCCCTGTGGCTCCCAGCCTCCTCTGCCATTTGCAGAGAGAGACAGAGACAGAGAGAGGCACTTGCACTTTCATGCTTCTCTCTCTGTTTGTTTGTTTGTGTGTGTGCGTGTGTATAAAAGAGAATGGACTCATGGTGTTCTCCGACAAGCTGACAAGCTTTTTGGGCGGGGCTCCTCCCTTTGCTGCGTCTCTGCAGGAAGCAGAAGGGCAGGAGAGAGCTAGCTAGCCCAGCTATGCTGACTCAGGAATTCTGGGAGTTGAAGTCCATGAGTCATAAAAGAGCCAAGGTTGCCTACCCCTAGACTAGACCTTAGAAGATCCCTTCCAGCCCTAGGATTCTATGGTTTGCCTTCTATCACACAGATTTTCTGAACTGGTTCAAACCTTCAGGTCACTTTCCAAACGAATTCAAGATTTCAAATGGAATTACTTTCCAAAACCAGTGATATGGGTTTCCCCCCACCCACCCCAATGATAAATAAAAGAACAGAATAAACACCGACTCTCCCGTAGCTGTTAGAAAATAGTTTATGAAGACATTTCCCTATAAGATTCTCCATCTTTCCTCAATCAGGATAATACACAGGAGAACCATCCTGGCATCACCCACTTGTAAACACCTCGTTCCGGATCGTGTACTACTGTACACAACGTACCTTCAACAAAAGTACCCTGAGCTTATTTCCCTGCCCACTAAATGCCTGATAGCCTCTAAGGTTAGTCACTTAAATTCAAGTTTTGCCAACGGGGAAAATAAATCACGCCAGGCCAGGTTTGACAGCCTACAAAACCTCACGTTCCCTAGCGTTTGCTCCGCCCGTCTGAATCCGCAGCAGGACCCAGCTCTGTGTCAGCAACAATTAGCCCCAGTTATGAAAACAACGGGGTGCAAATTCGGATTGTCCACGGCTGGCTGGTTGAGGTATGGAAAGCCCCCAGGCCGGCTCCTGGCAATGGGTCACTGTAAAGTACATGCTGCAAAAGGGGAGAAAGGGAAGAAAGCAATTTAGATTAAGCCTGAAATGAATCCATTTAAAAAAAGGTAGAAGAGAGAAAGAGAAAAAGCAATTTGGATTAAGCCTGAAATGAAATCATTAACCCCCCACCCCCCAACAGTGCTATTTTCAAATTAGTTTTAGCAAAGTTTAAACCTGACGTTCTAAATAGCTGGCTCAAAATTGATCTCTTGAAATCATTTTTTTTTCTCCTGGCAACAGCCTGGCTCAGTCGCTACGTTTTCTTGGCAGGGTTATTTGGAAGTGGTTTGCCTTCTTCGCTCTAAGGCAGCGAGAGAGAGAGAGAGAGAGAGAGAGAGAGGGACTGGCCCAAAGTCCCCCAGGGGCTTCGTGCTTAAGGAGGGACTAGAAGCCAGGATCTCCCCATTTCTAGCCTGGGGCCTTCACTTCTACGCCAGCCTGGTTCCTCTACACCAACACTTATCCAATGCAGGGTAGGGCACGGTATGGTAGGGTGGAAGGTAGGTAGATGGAAGGAAGGAAGGAAGGAAGGAAAGTAAAGAAAGAAAGAAAGAAAGAAAGAAAGAAAGAAAGAAAGAAAGAAAGAAAGAAAGAAAGAAAGAAAGAAAGAAAGAAAGAGAGGGAGGGAAAACTGAAGGGGAGAGGGAGGGACAGAAAGGAAAAAGAAACAGAAAGGAAAAGGGGAAGGAAGGAGAAAGCGAGACAGTGAGAAAGAAAGAAGGGAGGGAGAGAGGGAGGGAGGGAGGAAGAAAGGAAGAAAGAAAGGGAGGAAGGGAGGGAAAAAGGAAAGAAAGAAAGAAAGAAAGAAAGGGAGGGAGGGAAAAGGGAAGGAAAGGAGAGAGGGAGGGACAGAAAGGAAAAAAAAACATAAAGTAAAAGGGGAAGGAAGGAGAAAGCGAGACAGTGAGAGAGAAAGAAAGATGGGAGGGAGGAAGGAAGGAAGGAAGAAAGAAAGGGAGGAAGGGAGGGAGGAAGAAAGGAAAGAAAGAAAGAAAAAGAAAAAAGAGAAAAGGAAAAGGGAAGTAGGGAGGGAGGGAGGAAGGAACAGAAAGGAAGAAACAGAAAAGGGGAAGGAAGGAGAAAGGGACACAGTGAGAGAGGAAGAAAGATGGGTGGGAGGGAGGGAGGGAAGGAAGGAAGGAAGGAAGGAAGGAAGGGAAGGGACCAGACTTACAGTTTCTTACAGAATCCGAAAGGCCCTCATTTCCGATGGACTCAGCTTCCCACTGGGATTCCTTGATCTATAAGGAAAAGAGATCCAGGCGTTTCTTCCTAAGACTCCTGGCAGCTCCAAATCTGCCCTCCTGGGGCCTCCCCTCGTCCTCAGCGCCATCAGGAGAGCTCGGCCAGCCCCACGGAAAGCTCCTCCTGGCAGAGCAGACGGAATTCTGGATATCCCCAGAAATAAGCCACAAAGGCAACGGAGCAACCTCCGACGTCCTGCCCTCCCATTTGGGCACCAACATTCACCCGTGCACCCTTAGCCAAGCACGGGAGAGAGCCAGGATTTGAATCCAGAAGCCAAAGGGAGGCGCAAGGGCCATTTCCCAGAATGCAAACTGAGGCAAGGGATTTAACCTCAAGGGGGGAGGGCATTCCACCATGATGGAGAAATTCCTTAGGCAGGAGAATTTACTTAGGAGCTGAGTTCAGGCCTTCCCATTTTTAACCTCCCACACTCTAATAATGATAATGATGACAATGACAATAACAATAATAACAATAACAATAATAACAATAACAATAAAATAACAATAACAATAATAACAACAACAAAACAACAATAACAATAACAATAATAATAATAATAGGTGGAAGGGACCTTAGTCCAATCCCCTGCTCAGGCAGGAGACCCTATACCAGGGGTAGGCAACCTTGGCTCTTTTATGACTCGTGGACTTCAACTCCCAGAATTCCTGAGCCAACACAGCTGGCTCAGGAATTCTGGGAGTTGAAGTCCACGAGTCATAAAAGAGCCAAGGTTGCCTACCCCTGCCCTATACCATTTCAGACAAATGGCTGTCCAGTCTCTTCTTATAAACTTCCAGTGTTGGAGCATTCACCGCTTCTGGAGGCAGGTTGTTCCACTGGTTAATTGTTCTCACTATCAGGAAGTTTCTCCTTAGTTCTAGGTTGCTTCTCTCCTTGATTAGTTTCCATCCGTTGCTTCTTGTCCTGTTCGCGTCTTGTTCAGGCGCTTTGGAGAATAGCTTGACTCCCTCTTCTTTGGGGCACTCCCTGAGAGTGCCCCAAAGACTGCTATCCTGTCCCCCCTCGTCCTTCTCTTCATTAAACGAGACATCCCCAATTCCAGCAGCGGTTCCTTATATGTTTTAGCCTCCAGTCCCCTGATCATCTTTGTTGCTCTTCTCTGCACTCTTTCTAGTGTCTCAACATCTTTTTTACATCTAAGCTCTTCCTAGGCTTAGAGTTCTAGCAAGTCATCCGTATACCACCACACCTATTCTCACAATCACCTCTGCTCAAATGTTTTGAGGCGTCTCCTACTTTGCAGGTCAACGGAAGGCAGCTCTCTCTCCCCCCTTCCCCCTCAACTTCTCCTACCTTGATCTGTTCTTTCAGATATTCTGCTCGGGCCATCAGCGTCTGGATCTGCCAAGACAAACATAAGCTCACGTTTTGCAATTTCCTTTTTAATGGAGTGCAAATCCTTTTGAGAATTGGGACAGCAGGAAGGGTCCTTGAATTGTCGTCCATTCATCAGTCCTAAAGGACANAGGGAGGGAGGAAGAAAGGAAAGAAAGAAAGAAAAAGAAAAAAGAGAAAAGGAAAAGGGAAGTAGGGAGGGAGGGAGGGAGGAAGGAACAGAAAGGAAGAAACAGAAAAGGGGAAGGAAGGAGAAAGGGACACAGTGAGAGAGGAAGAAAGATGGATGGGTGGGAGGGAGGGAGGGAGGGAGGGAAGGAAGGAAGGAAGGGAAGGGACCAGACTTACAGTTTCTTACAGAATCCGAAAGGCCCTCATTTCCGATGGACTCGGCTTCCCACTGGGATTCCTTGATCTATAAGGAAAAGAGATCCAGGCGTTTCTTCCTAAGACTCCTGGCAGCTACAGTCTGCCCTCTTGGGGCCTCCCCTCGTCCTCAACGCCATCATGAGAGCTCGGCCAGCCCCACGGAAAGCTCCTCCTGGCAGAGCAGACGGAATTCTGGATATCCCCAGAAATAAGCCACAAAGGCAACGGAGCAACCTCCGACGTCCTGCCCTCCCATTTGGGCACCAACATTCACCCGCGCACCTTAGCCAAGCACGGGAGAGAGCCAGGATTTGAATCCAGAAGCCAAAGGGAGGCGCAAGGGCCATTTCCCAGAATGCAAACTGAGGCAAGGGATTTAACCTCAAGGGGGGGGATTCCACCATGATGGAGAAATTCCTTAGGCAGGAGAATTTACTTAGGAGCTGAGTTCAGGCCTTCCCATTTTTAACCTCCCACACTCTAATAATGATAATGATAATGATGACGATGACAATAACAATAATAACAATAATAACAATAACAACAAAATAACAATAATAACAATAACAATAACAACAACAACAACAACAACAACAACAACAACAACAACAACAACAACAACAACAACAATAATAATAATAATAATAATAATAGGTGGAAGGGACCTGGCTCAGGAATTCTGGGAGTTGAAGTCCACGAGTCATAAAAGAGCCAAGGTTGCCTACCCCTGCCCTATACCATTTCAGACAAATGGCTGTCCAGTCTCTTCTTATAAACTTCCAGTGTTGGAGCATTCACCGCTTCTGGAGGCAGGTTGTTCCACTGGTTAATTGTTCTAACTGTCAGGAAGTTTCTCCTTAGTTCTAGGTTGCTTCTCTCCTTGATTCATTTCCATCCGTTGCTTCTTGTCCTGTTCGCATCTTGTTCAGGCGCTTTGGAGAATAGCTTGACTCCCTCTTCTTTGGGGCACTCCCTGAGATACTGGAAGACTGCTATCCTGTCCCCCCTCGTCCTTCTCTTCATTAAATGAGACATACCCAATTCCAGCAGCGGTTCCTTATATGTTTTAGCCTCCAGTCCCCTGATCATCTTTGTTGCTCTTCTCTGCACTCTTTCTAGTGTCTCAACATCTTTTTTACATCTAAGCTCTTCCTAGGCTTAGAGTTCTAGCAAGTCATCCGTATACCACCACACCTATTCTCACAATCATCTCTGCTCAAATGTTTTGAGGCGTCTCCTACTTTGCAGGTCAACGGAAGGCAGCTCTCTCCCCGGGGGGAAGGGGGAGTTGAAGAGGATGGAACTAGACAAGAAAGTCTATAAGACGAGCCCGGTAGTCGCAGACCTAGACGGTTCTGTTTGTATTCGAGTGCAAAACGTTAAAGGAAAAATTACCTCACGTTTAGGAAAACTCTTAACCCTGTCGTCCTTCCCAGGAACTTAACAGCAGGTAAGTAGTCAGGATTTCCTGTTCAGAAGAACCTTGTGGGACCAACCTCTGGGTCCATCAAGACAGCCCTGTCCATCTCTCAACAGCCAAAGAGCACTCACGAAGCCCATCGGCCTGGCGTGGAAGTGATTTGAGACCCTTCCACTACTAAACACATACATAACACATGGTGTCTATGGTATCAATCATCCAGGTCAGGAGTAGTCAACCTTGGCTCTTTTATGACTCATGGACTTCAACTCCCAGAATTCCTGAGCCAGCACAGCTGGCTCAGGAATTCTGGGAGTTGAAGTCCACGAGTCATAAAAGAGCCAAGGTTGACTACCCCTGATCCAGGTCATGGTTGCCCCAAAGGTGCTTTTTCCAAAAGGCAACTGGACTTTCTTGGTTTTTTATTCTGAAAACATTTTGCTTCTCATCTAAGAAGCTTCTTCAGTTCTAACTAACTGGTAGGGAATGGAAGGATTTATATTCTTTGCAGTCAGCTGTCATTAGCACTTGAATGACCAATTCTCAGAGCACTAACGACCTGCTGACTGGAAAGAATATAAATCAGAATAACAGAATTGAGAAACATTGTCTTTAGAGCATCTGGGTATAGAAAGGTGAAATTAAATTGTCTTTTTAATCTAAAAGCACATATAGGGAATCCTAAGAGTTGGGAGGAATCTTGAAGGACTTCTACTCTGATCTTCTGCTCCCGGGTGGTAGGAATAACAGAATAACAAAATAACAGAATAACAGAGTCAGAAGGGACCCTTAGAGGTCTTCTAGTCCAACCCCTTGCTCAGGCAGGAAACTCTATACCATGTCAGGCAAATGGTTGTCCAATCTCTTCTTAAAAACACCCACAATGTCTGGAGGCAAGCTGTTCCACTGCTTAATTGCTCTCACTGTTGGGAAATTCCTCCTTAGTTCTAGGTTGCTTCTCTCCTTGATGAGTTTCCATCCATCGCCCACAATCCTCCCTTCAGCTCCTTCCATTCCTCACCAGTTAATTAGAACCGAAGAAGCTTCTTGGATGAGAAGTAAAATCTTTTCAAAGAAAAAAAAACAAACAAGAAAACCCAGCGGTCTTTTGACAAAAGCAACTTTGCTCCATGCAAGGTTTTCTTCATTCTATGGTGCGCATTCAGACGTTTGATGCACCCGTTCAACCAACAATATCAAAAGCCAGGTTTGTGCTCTTGAAGTGTGGTTTTCCTGATTCAGAAGTGATCCCTTGGAGGCAACAGCCCTTCCTGTTCTCTGGGGCCCAGGTTCCACTCTGGAGAGACAGCCATAACGTACCTCAGCATGTAGCAATTCTCGTCTTCTTCCTGCAGGTTCCGCTGAATTTAGGGGGAAAAAAGAGAATAAAGAGTATTTGATTGCTTAAGAACTAAAAAAAATAATGCAGTGAATTAGCTTATAAGCCCAACAGTTATAGCAACATTATAGGGCTGGGCAGAAATCTGGATTCAAAAGATAAAATACGACTTACAGGCCGTTCTAGACTTACAACCGTTTGTTTAACAACCGCTTAAAGTTACAACAACACTGAAAAAACTGACTAAGAGTTCAGCAATGTCTACTCAAGTTCACACGTTGCAGGAAGCCTTTGTTTGTTTTAAGCATGGGGGTTTGATTAAGCCAGAGCGGGCTGGGTCCTCACCACCTGCTAAGTCATGAAGCACGGTGTACTAACCACGATAACCAGCTTTGCGATACGCTGAATCTAAACCGAGGATGCCATGCATTGCTCAGTTGCAAAGTATGGAGGCAGCCCAAAGTTCTTCCAAAGATCCAGATACAGAAATCTAAGGGGCTGCCACAAAGGGGAGGGGGATCAACCTCTTCTCCAAAGCCCCAAAGGCAGGACAGGAAGCAACGGATGGAAACTTATCAAGGAGAGAAGCAAACCTGGAATTAAGGAGAAACTTCCTAACAGTGAGGACAAATAACCAGTGGAACAGAAGTTGCCTTCGGAAGTTGTGGGTGCTTCATCACTGGAGGCTTTTAAGAAGAGATAATTAATAATAATAATAATAATAATAATAATAATAATAATAATAATAATAATAATAATAATAATAATAATAATAATAATAATAATAATAATAATAATAATAATAATAGTAAAGTTGGAAAGGACCTTGGAGGTCTTCTAGTCCAACCCCCTGCTCAGGCAGGAAACCCTAGACCATTTCAGAATAGAATAACAACTTTATGGTCACTTTGAATGTACACTAATCGGCATACATGAAAATGAAATTTCGTTGCATACAGTTCTCAAAAGATCACCACCTCCGATACACACTACATAAATATGACAAAAATAAATAAGTAAATACAGAATTATGCATATACCCACGTATATTATATGACAAATGGCTGTCCAGTCTCTTCTTTAAAACCTCCAGTGTTGGAGCATTCACAACTTCTGGAGGCAGGTTGTTCCACTGGTTAATTGTTCTCACTGTCAGGAAGTTTCTCCTTAGTTCTAGGTTGCTTCTCGCTTTGGTTATTTTCTCCATCCGTTGCTTCTTGTCCTGCCTTCAGGTGCTTTGGAGAATAGCTTGACTCCCTCTTCTTTGGGGCAGCCCCTCAGATATATTGGAAGACTGCTATCCTGTCCCCCCTCGTCCTTCTCTTCATTAAACTAGACATACCCAATTCCTGCAACCGTTCCTTGTATCAGCCATTCCGCTGATGAATTAACAAAATGACAGAGTTGGAAGGGACCTGGGAGGTCTTCTAGTCCAACCCCCTGCTCAGGCAGGAAACCCTGGACCAAAGGTCCCCAACCTTTTGGGCACCAGGGACCGGTTCTGTGGAGAGAGGTTTTTCCACGGACTGGAGGGTGTGTGGTTTTGTGTGCTGCCTGCATCCCACGGATGGGGCTTTGCTTGTTTCTGCGGACCGGTTGCTGGCATGCCGTGGCCCGGTACCGGTCCACGGACCGGGGTTTGGAGACCCCTGCCCTAAACCATTTCAGACAAACAGCCATTGGTCTGAAATGATAGTCCTATGCATTAAGATCAAGTCTGACCTCACCGCTAAGCTATGTGTAGCTGAAGGGACAGCTGGTCACCTTTGACCCTTTTCTCCTGTCCTCCAGCCTCTTCCTGGCATCACCCAGCGAGCTTTTCACTCACCAGCCAGCATCAGAAGCAATTCGCCCAAGCTCTGCTGATACAGCTCCAGCGTTTCGCTGTCCTCCTTCCCTTCTTCTTCCTGGGGACGAGAGATAACAAGCTGAATCCCTGCTGGACATGAAAGGACTTCTTCAACACCGGGCTACAAATATTCTCTCCCAGCTGTATATGAATTAACACACACACCCCCTCTCCACTTTTAATCAAAGTAGAGGCCACACAATGACCCGCACGGGGAGAAAGGTATGGAGAAATAAAGAGTTTTCTTCCTTCCTTCCTCACCTCTTCCCCCCCCCCCCCGGCAAAAATATGGGGATAAAATTAAAGCCAGGCGATTTTAGGAAGCAGAAAAGATCGGATCTCTTTACGCACTGAATGCTGAGTTCATGGGGAGAGCGCTGATTCATCCATTCATTTTTGAATGCAATTGAACATACTGGCACTCGAGCGAACTGCAAAGGCAAGCAGGCTCTGTGTGTACGTGTGTTTGTGTGTGTGTGTGTGTGTGTGTGTGTTGCACAGACTTGGCTGGACAGGATTGAGAGTTTAAAAAGAAGTCCCACTGAACTCTTCCATCCCAAGTGTGGTTTAGCACACCCTTCGGAGCCCTTACAATATTTGGTCCTTATTTTGCCTTTTGGGACTGTTCAAGGAGCTGAAGGGTTAGGGTTATTCTCCAAAACACCCGAAGGCAGGATAAGAAGTTAACAGATGGAAACTAGAAGGAAGGAGAAACTTCCTGACAATGAACACAATGAATCAATGGGAGGGCTTGGCTCTAGAGGTTGTGGGGGGGCTGTGGCTGGAGGTTTTTAAGAAGAGACTGGACGGCCATTTATCTGAAATGGTAGAGGGTCTTCTGCCTGAGCAGGGGGTTGAACTAGAAGACCTCTGAGATCCCGTCCAACTCTGTCATCTTTTCTTTTTCTTTCTTTCTTTCTTTCTTTCTTTCTTTCTTTCTTTCTTTCTTTCTTTTTCTTTTTCTCTTTCCTTTCTTTTCCTTTTTCTTTTTCTCTCTTGCTCTTTTTTCCTTTCTTTTTCTTTCTTTTCCTTCCTTTCCTTTTTTTCTTTCTCTCTTGCTTTTTTCCTTTCTTTTTCTTTTCCTTCCTTTCCTTTTTTCTTTCTTTCTTTCTCTTGCTCTTTTTTCCTTTCTTTTTCTTTCTTTTCCTTCCTTTCCTTTTTTCTTTCTTTCTCTCTTGCTCTTTTTTCCTTTCTTTTTCTCTTTTCCTTCCTTTCTTTTTCTTTTTCTTTCTTTCTCTCTCTTGCTCTTTTTTCCTTCTCTTTTTCTTTCTTTTCCTTCCTTTTTTCCTTTTTCTCTCTCTCTTGCTCTTTTTCCTTCCTTTCCTTTTTTCTTTCTTTCTTTCTCTCTCGCTCTCTTTTCCTTCTTTCTCTTTTTCTTTCTCTCTCTCTCTTCCTTTTTTTCCCTTCCTTTCTTCCTGCCCGCCTGCCTGCCCCACTCGCCCTATCATTGGAGGTTTTTAAGAAGAGACTGGACAGCCACTTCTGTGAAATGAGATGAGGTTTCCTGCTTGAGCAGGGGGTTGGACTAGAAGACCTCCAAGGTCCCTTCCAGCTCTGTCATCCTGTTAAATCTCCCGCAGCCTTCCACAATCTCCCAGAAGTCACCCACCCTGCTTGTTTGGGACTGCAGAGTCCCTGCGTGCTCCCCGGTTCAACCACGGCAACCCTCTCTGTTCCCCCCTCCCCAGCAGCTGACCTTCGCCACAGCGGCAGATGCGACCTCCAGAGCAGCATACAGTCGGGGTTTGTTCTTGGACATCTCTGGAACAAGAGAGGAAAAAATGGTTTGCAGCTAAGATAAAGTTCCCAGGGTGTCAAGGTTGAATCGCTAGGATGCCTGCTAACTTCTACCGCTAATCAGCTTGCCATAGAAACAGGGGGGAGGCGGAGGGGGAGGAAATGGGATACCAAAGGGTATCCCAAGAAGCTGTTCAGAGAGAGTGAGAGCCTGCAAGAATGCCAAGGTCACTAATGCAGGAGAAGTGGACCGTTTCCCATAATAAAACGAAGTTCCATGAATGGACAATGTGAACATCCGGTGGGAGCGGGTAAGGGGAAGCTATGGCTTAACTAGGCAATTATTCACACGGGAAAACCAGAGGTGGTTTTGCTTCTTCAGTTCCGAGATGTGTATTCAATAAAGCTAAAACCTATAAGGAACGGCTGCTGGAATTGGGTATGTCTAGTTTAACGAAGAGAAGGACGAGGGGGGACATGGTAGCAGTCTTCCAATATCTCAGGGGCTGCCCCAAAGAAGAGGGAGTCAAGCTATTCTCCAAAGCGCCTGAAGGCAGGACAAGAAGCAACGGATGGAAACTAATCGAGGAGAGAAGCAACCTAGAACTAAGGAGAAACTTCCTGACAGTGAGAACAATTAACCAGTGGAACAACCTGCCTCCAGAAGCGGTGAATGCTCCAACACTGGAAGTTTTTAAGAAGAGACTGGACAGACATTTGTCTGAAAGGGTATAGGGTTTCCTGCCTGAGCAGGGGGTTGGACTAGATGACCTCCAAGGTCCCTTCCAACTTTATTATTATTATTATTATTATTATTATTATTATTACTATTATTATTATTATTATTACTAGCTGTACCCGGCCACACGTTGCTGTGGCTCAGACAGGTTAAATGTTTTTACCTGTCACAGGTGTGACATCTATATAATAGTAGGTATATAAAAACACGTGCGTATTCGAATGCAACGTTGTGTCAAAATTTCAAAGCAATCGGTGAAGAACTTTCGGAGATTTAAGATTTTGAACAAACGAACATTTACATTTTTATTTATATAGATTATCATCATCATCATTATCATCATCATCATCAACATCATCATCATCATCATCATTAGCTTATATTTTATGGCATTCAAAAGCCTTGAAGATTCCTTTTTGGGGTTTCACTAGTCCAGGGGTTCCCAATCGGGGGTGCGAGACGATATTCTAGGAGGTGCGAAAACTTGGCTATTCAAAATTATAGCCTGTATGTATAATTCGTTGTCGTTATCTCGAACTTTGGTAAGGGGTGCGAGAATATATCAGAAGTGTTCTAGGGGCGGGGGGTATAGAAAAGGTTGGGAACCGCTGTGCTTGTCGGACAGTTGACAGAGGGGCAGGTTTTCGTATGCAGGTAATTGTCGACTTATCACTGTAGCTAGGGCCAGAATTTCTATTGCTAAAACAAGGTGGTCGTTAAACAAGCAACGAGCTTGATTGTACATCCTTTTTTGCCAAAGAAAAAAATCTTGGGCAACCACAACACCCCCCTCCCCCCGAAACCGAATGCCTGTCTTGGAAACCTACAGCAACGCAGGCAAACACACCATGCTCTCCCTTTTGCCAGCTCTGTCCTAAAATAGTAAATACAGCTCAGGGGGAAAATATCTCGATTTTGGAGAAAGGGAGGCTGTGGAGCAGCGCCCTCTGGTGGCTCACAACACTCCTGCAGGATTGGCACCCGGCATCATTTTGCAGCAGATCCTTGTTTATCATAGAATCATGGCGCTGGAAGGGACCCTTACAGGTCTTCTAGTCCAGGGCTTTTCAACCTTTTCACCCATTGTGCCACTTTTAGGATATGGCAACATCCGAGTACCATCAGTCGCCTAGCAAGGTGTCAAAAACCTGATGACCCCCCCAAAAGGAAAAAAAGTGATAAAGTACAGGTAGTCCTCGACTTACAACCGTTCGCTTAGTGACTGTTTGAAGTTACAATGGCACTGAAAAAAGTGCCCCCCAAGGCACAGCCGAGCAAGACACCTGCCTGCCCACCTGGTGGCGCTCTTCCTCCTGTCTGAAGTTTTCATTGTTGTGAGCATTTCTGTTGAGGATTGGCAGCGGGGGTGGGGTGGGGGGGGTGTTTGGTTTTATTCCCCCCGTCTGCTGGGTGGTTGCAGCAGGTGTTGGTCGCTTCACATGACCCTGGGACACTGTGACCGTCATAAATATGAATCAGTTGCCAAGCATCTGAATGTAAATCACAAGACCCTGGAGATGCTGCAACATTGCAGCTGATCGGCGCGTCTTCTGGGCTCAGCAGAAGCACCAGGATCAGCGCCGAGCTCCAGCTGGAGCCTGGCACTGATCCTGGCGCTTCCGCTGAGCCCTGACAGCCCTGGAGCTCCAGCTGTCTCTCGCTCAGGCTTGTGCGGTGCTGCCACCGGTTCAGGTCATTCCCCTCCCCCGCTACCACTTTTCTAGGATGGTCGCGTACCACCTGCCAGGTGCCAATGTATCACAGGTGGTACCTGTACCACTGGTTGAAAAGCCCTGGTCTAGTCCAACCTTGGCCACTTTAAGACAGGTGGACTTCAACTCCCAGAATTCCTCATGGCTGGCTGGGGAATTCTGGGAGTTGAAGTCCACAAGTCTTAAAAGTGGCCAAAGTTGGAGACCCTGACTTATGCCTTATCAACAAGACACTATTTCAAGCAAGGTACTCCCTTCTTCAGCTTCTCTCCCTTAGAAATTTACCTTTTAAAATGTCCCGTCCAGGGCAGCCTTTTTGCAAAAGGGCTTTGTTGTCCGATGCTACCAGCACCTTGAGCTGCTCGGCACGTGAGATATAATCGCTCACCTGGTCAAGAGGGGAAACAGGAAACAGAAGAGAGCTTTTAATGCTTTGCACCAAAGTAGGCGCCTTGCAAATTAATGGTGCCCGTTTTCAGTGGCGTAGCGTGGGTTGTCAGCACCCGGGGCAAGGCAAGTAATTTGCGCCCCCCCCCTCCACAGTGGGCGGCGACCCGGCGGCTCGGATCGGATTCGCACAGGCAGGGGCAGAGAGCTGCGAGTGCGAGCACGCCCCCCCAGATGTTGCGCCCGGTGCGGCCGGCCCCCCCTGCACCCCCCACACTACGCCTCTGCCCGTTTTGCTTCTTGAAATAAAGAAATAAACTGGGGCTCAGCACAGCCAAAGGGCTCTTGAGGTAAAATACTGCTAATAAATAGGCTGCTTCTGAGATTTACATATTGGTAAACTGCAGTGGGATCCTGTGTTTCTTAACTGTGGAGGCGTTTAAGATAGGTGGACTTCAACTTCCAACACTCTCCAGCCAGCCATGAGGAATTGTGGGAATTGAAGTCCACCTGTTTTAAAGTGACCAAGGTTGGAGACCCCTGGACTATTTATATTCTGTAAATATGGAAGTAAAATTGTTACTGCTGTTATATGTCTGGCCTTATGGCTGTAATAAACAGATTGATTGAAGACCTCCAAGGTCCCTCCCAGTCCCAGCCCCAGCTTGGCTGGCTGGCTGGCTGGGGAATTCTGGGAGTTGAAGTCCACCTGTCTTAAAGTTGCTAAGATTGAGAAACCTGGATTTTGGCATTGCTAAAAGCTGAAGAGGAATTAGGGAAAACTGTTGCGCCAAGTTATTCCCAGCTGGATTTAATTCCGACTAAATGTGTTTGCCTGAATAAATGTGTTTGCTGTATTTTTTGACGACTGGGGCTCCTTTATCAGTAAGACAGAATACCCATTTCCCCAAAACCGAATATTGGTGTGCCTATCAGTACAGCAAACTAGCTTATATTTATTAGGAGTTTGCCTAGCAGTAAAATTTATTTTGCTGACCCTATTCCTCAGCTCACTTTCAAGGCTAACTGCTTTTTAGACACGGCTTCCCAAGAGGAGACCGACTGGGAAAAAATGCTGGTGGGTCCCACCTATCTTCCTTGCCTAAGGCAGAAATCCTGGCCTAATCCTGCTTGCAAAGGAGCACTTTCACCTACCCCAAAAGTTTGCTTGAAAATTTAGCCATCGGGTCAGTTGGAACCTGGACGTTCGACTAACCTTGGATCGGATCGCTTCCTTCCGCTGGGCGTCTTGTTCATCTGAAGACAATAAGGGAGATGAAGAAGTGGGCAAGGCAGGCTGCGTATTACACCGAGGGGCAAACCCAAGGGAGTCTACCATAATTTGAATACTGGCAACCGTAATGGAGCCTGCCAATCGTGACGGTCGCAAAACGGGACGGTCATGCAAAAGACCTCATTTTACAACCTGTTTTTGCAGTGCTCGTTAAGGACACGCGGCAGTCGTTAAGCGAGCCAAGGGTTTGCTATGGAGGTGGTTTGCTGAAAACTGGACGTCCCTTTTTGGGAAAACACAGTCACATGACCCTAGGATGCTGCAAAATGGACATATATGTGGCCTGGTTGTGAAGCACCTGAAGTTTGGTCATGTGACTCCCAGGGGTGCATGTGACTGGCAGGACTTTGAATCTCGTTCGTAAGTAGCTCCCAGTAGCTCATAAGTCAGGGACTACCTGTTGGTGGCTTGGCAAGCCCCTTTTAAGGGTGATTTTTGCCAGCTAGTGTAGAAACAAGCAAAGAAGTGGATTCTAGGAAAATGAAAATCAGGCGGAGGCGGAGAAAATCTTGGGAGAATATGTTTGGGCAGCAAGAAATGAACGAAGTCGGGAAGAGGCTGGTCCCAAGTGAAAATAAATTGATTCCCCCAGACTCAAATGCAGGTCTACATAGAATCAGAGCTGGAAGGGACCTTAAAAGGTCTTCTAGTCCAATTCTCTGCCCAAGGCAGGAAATCCTATACCCGTGGTGGCGAACCTATGGCACGCGTGCCACAGGTGGCACGCAGAGCCCTCTCTGTGGGCACGCAGGCTGTCGCCCCAGTCCTAGGCCTTCAGCTGGGTTTTATAAAACCTTTTCGCTTTAGGCCTCCGCCGCTGTGTGCAAAAAAAAAAAAAGGTTCAATCAATCAGTCAATTTCAACTTCTCACGAAAAAAAAGATCTCGCAAAGTTGGAATTGATTGATTGAACTTTTTAGTCCCACCCAGTCTGCTATTACCACTGCAGCCACGCCCACCCAATGGGCCACACCCACCTAATGGGCCACGCCCATCCGGCACCCGACGATACATAAGTGGGTTTTGGGCTGCAGCTTGGGCACTCGGCCTCTAAAAGGTTCGCCATCACTGTCCTATACCATCCCAGTCAAATGGTTGTCCAATCTGATCTTTAAACCCTCCGGTGATGGAGCACCCACAACTTCTGGAGGCAAGCTGTTCCACTGATTAATTGTTCTCATTGTTAGGAAATTTCTCCTTAGTTATAGGTTGGATGTTTTTTTTCATAAGCTTCCACCTGTTATTTCTTGTCCTGCCCTCCGGAGCACTTTGTTTTTACTCAGAGTGGGTTGACTTACTCTAGAGGAAAGAAGGAAGGGGAAAGCAAAGAGCAACTGGGCTACTCACATCGTAAGGCAGGGACAAAGTACTCCAGAGCTTTGGAGTAGAGCGAAAGGGCGGTGGTCATGTCACCTTCTTGGTCCTTCTTGACCGCCTCCGTGACAAGCTTGGTCTGTAAAGAAGCAACGTAAGAGAAGAGATTGTGGGCCAAGGGGGTCCATCCTCTAAAACAGGGGTGTCCAACCTTGGCAGCTTTAAGATCTGTGGACTTCAACTCCCAGAATGTCCCAGCCAGATAACATCTGGAGGTGGCTCAGAGAGAGACCTCCCAAATCCACTGAACTGTGAGGAAGAGGAGGAACTGGTTTTTATATTTATGGATTTATAATCAGACTTGCAAGAGTTTGTGATTAGAGCCACTCTCAACAAAAGTAGTTTTAGCTTTTCTATGGAGTGGATTTCCTGGTCTGATCTATCTAGGTGGGGCTAGTAAATAGAGACCCACCTAGATTCTGCTGTAATAGTAAGTCATCTGCCAATGCTGAACTACACCTCTCCCCTTCTTTCCTTCCCTTTCTCTTTCCTTTCTTTTCTTCCTTCCTTTCTCTTTTCCTTCTTTCCCTTTCTCTTTCCTTCATTCCTCCCTTTCTCTTTCCTTCCTTTCTTCCCTTTCTCTTTTCTTTCCTTCCTTCCTTCCCTCCCTCTTCCTTCCTTCTCTTTTTTCCTTCTTTCCCTCCCTCCCCCTTTCCCTTCCTTCCTTCCCCTTTTTTCCTTCCTTCCTTCTTTTCCTTTCTTTTCCTTCCTTCCTTCCTTCCTCCCTCCCCTCCCCTCCCCTCCCCTCCCCTTCATTCTTACACACACAAACACATAGACCCCCATACTCAACCCTTTGCCACTACTCACTGCTTTCCCCAGACTTTCCGCGCTGGCCATGTGCTCCATGTCCACAAACGGGTGTGCAAAGAAGGCCTGGAAGGAGATCCGCTGCTGGGGGTCCCTTTGCAGAAGACGCTGCAGGAGATCCCGGCACTCCGGGGAGAGTCGGGGGCGGCTGGGAAGCTGGGAAGGAAAGGTGGAAGAAATCAGGTGAAGGCTTAAAGGTACCCCCACTTCTGACCAGGAGGATTTTCGATCACTCCGTGGGTAGCGAAGCTGATGAGATGTTCCAGGAAGTGGTGGGGATGGGAAGTTGTGCTTTGGGTCCCTTTGAGAATCTGGGAGACCCTGTGGATCCCTTCTCAGAAAAAATGCAGGGAGGAAGGGGGTGGGAATTAAAAGCAGCTTGCAAACCCCTGCGGTAAAACATCACAACCACAACTGACAAAGTCATCCCCACCTGCGGCCTTGCAGGGTTACCTCAACAGGGTGGCTGCTCCGGATCTTCTCCTCCAGCTCAGCAAACGATTTGGAGGCGAAAGGCGGCCGGCCAAAGAGAGCCTCTAAAAGGGGGGGGGGAGAAAGGTATCCTGGTTAAGGATCGGAGGTCTTGTGGAGACGCCTGAAAGAATCCTGCGGAAGCTGCAGGGAACGAAGCCCCGATCACTGCTTTCAAATCACTTTTCCTCCACTCTGCAAGCCCCACTCCCTTCTAGAACTGATGACGTTGCCTAGTTTGGTAATGAAACATCTGCGAGAAAATCACCAAGTTCAGACAGCACCAAAAAGCTCACCATTCTACGATCTTTAGCTGAGCTTGCAATTCCATTATGAAATGAAGACCATGGTGGGAAGACTGCATTCACAACACTCCCGTCATTGAAGATGAACTTAACAAATAACAGGAGTTGGAAGGGACCTTGGAGGTCTTCTAGTCCGACCCCCTGCTCAGGCAGGAAACCCTATACCATTTCAGACAAATGGCTGTCCAGTCTCTTCTTAAAAACTTCCAGTGTTGGAACATTCACCGCTTCTGGAGGCAGGTTGTTCCACTGGTTAATTGTTCTCACTGTCAGGAAGTTTCTCTTTAGTTCCAGGTTGCTTCTCTCCTTGATTAGTTTCCACCCGTTGCTGCTTGTCCTGCCTTCAGGGGCTTTTGGAGACTAGGTTGACCCCCATGATAGACTGCTATCGTGTCATCTCCTAGTCCTTATTTTCATTAAACTAGACATACCCAATTCCTACATCCACAACTTCTGGAGGCGAGGCAAGTTATTCCACTGATTAATGGACTTATTAATATACATATGTTTCATTTTTAACGTGTGCCAGTGTGTTCACAGAACAAAGTGACAATAAAGGTTATCTTATCTATCTTATCTTATCATTTTATCTACCCTCTCATCTCATCTACTTATCTATCCTCTCCCATCCCATCCCATCCCATCTTATCTGTCTTACCTTATCATTTTATCTATCCTATCCTCTCATCTCATCTCCTCTTATCTTATCATCTCTTATCTTACCATCTATCTCATCTTATCTTATCTCTTATCTTATCATCTTATCTCTCCTCTCCTCCCATCCCATCTATTTTACCTTATCATCTTATCTATCCTTTCCTCTCCTCTCCTCCCATTCCATCTTATCTATCTTACCTTATCATCTTATCTATCCTCTCCTCTCTTCTCCTCTCCTCTCTTCCCATCCCAACCTATACTCTCCTATCATCCTATCTATTATCCTCTCCTCTCCTCTCCTCTCCTCTCCTCTTATCTTATCATCTTATCTTACCATAGAGGATGACGCCCACTGACCACAGGTCTACCCGGGCATCGTATTGCCGATTGCACACCATTTCTGGCGCCATATAAAGAGGCGAACCTCTCAGCACGTGCTTCTCGTCCCTGGGGGACATGTGCTGTGCAAATCCAAAATCTAGGGAGAAAGAGGGAGCATTGATTAAAAGTCTTCAAAGCAGGATTCATCCCTGCATCCCCGGGGAAATCACGATGTACGTGTGGACCTCAAGGTATGATCATTCATTTACCAATCATTCGGGGACTGTCGAAAAAGTGCTTTATAGCTGCTCCTCGCATTTACGACCGACACGGTAAAGTCAAACCCTACCAATTTTGTTACTTGTGAGCAAAATCCACTTTAAGGGATGTTAATAAGAAATTGAGCACAGCCGTAGCCCGATGTTTCGCTCCTTCCCATACCTGCCAGCTTGAGATGAGATTTCTCCAAGGAACTCAGTAGGATATTTTGAGGTTTGAGGTCCAGATGGCAGATATTCTTATCGTGAAGGAATTTCAAGGCACAAGCTGCTTTGAATAAAAAAAAAAAAGAAAGGAAATGCACTCCGTAACAGTCCATATTCTTGAGGACTAGATGCCTAAGCCAGTGTTTCTCAATGTCCGCAACTTTCAGAGGGGTGGACTTCAACTCCCAGAATTCCCCAGCCAGCAAGTTGAAGTTCAACCCTCTTAAAGAAACACTGCTCTAAACCAGGAGTATCCAACTTTGCCCACCTTAAGACATGTGGACTTCAACTCCCAGAATTCCCCAGCCAGCCACGGGGAATTCTGGGAGTTGGAAGTCCACAAGTTTCTCTCCGTATTCCTCACCCAGTTGTTGTAGAAATATACAAGCCACCTTTTCGGGAAGAATCCTCCGGCTACGGATGAAACGGGACAGATCACCTCCAGGACAATATTCCATGATTAAGTAGATGTATTCCTTGTCCCACTAAAAGAGAGGGGGTGGGGAAATCCATCCAGTTTATCAAAAGCACATCTACTTTCCCATTCCCATTGAGCCAACCTCTTTCCTCCCACCCACCAAGTTTCTAGTCCTTATGGAGGCAATTTGGGTGATACCTAGTCCCAGTGGGAGTTATTGCTGAGAATTGCATCGGTCAGTCTTAGGAGGTGGTGCTCTAATTAGCTTGGTCAAAGAAATGCCTGCAGAGCCTTAGCTAGTAGTTACAACGGCACTGAAAAAAGGGACTTACGACTAGTCCTCACACTTCTAACTGCACTCAATCACAGCCCAAAGGCCCCCCCCCCTTCTGATTTGCACCTGGAAGTCCTTTAACTCCACAATGTGGGGGTGCCGGACGTTTTTGAGGATTTCGATTTCGGTCAGCAGGTTTTCGACAGAGGCCTTGTTGAGATTCTTCTTACTCACGCATTTGATGGCCACCACTTCCCGGGAGTTCTTCTAAGAAGGCAGAAAGGAAAAGAGTTTGGAATTTTCTAGTAAGGTTTTTATTTTATATTTTTTTAGCTTTTTAAAATGCTTTTTTAAACCTTAGGTATTTTATATTTTTTAGCTTTATATATATATATTTTTAACCTTGGGTATTTTATATTTTTAAGCTTTATATATATATATTTTAACCTTGGGTATTTTATATTTTTAAGCTTTTTAAAATGTTTTTTTTTAACTTTGGGTATTTTATATTTTTTAGCTTTTTAAACATTTTTTAACCTTGGTTATTTTATATCTTTTAGCTTTTTTTTAAAAAAAAAATTAACCTTGGGTATTTTATATTTTTTAGCTTTTAAATTTTTTTTTAACCTTGGGTATTTTATATTTTTTAGCTTTTTAGAATGTTTTTTTTAACCTTGACTATTTTATATTTTTTAGCTTTTTAAACATTTTTTTAACCTGGGTTATTTTATATCTTTAGCTTTTTTTTTAAAAAAAAAATTAACCTTACGTATTTTATATTTTTTAGCTTTTAAAATGTTTTTTTTTAACCCTGGGTATTTTATATTTTTAGGTTTTTTTAAAATGTTTTTTTAACTTTGGGTATTTTATATTTTTAAGCTTTTTAAACATTTTTTTAACGTTAGTTATTTTATATTTTTAAGCTTTTTAAAATGATTTTTTAACCTAGGGTATTTTATAATTTTTAGCTTTTTTAAATGGTTTTTTTTTTTTAAAATTAGGGTATTTTATATTTTTTAGCTTTCTAAAATATGTTTTTAACCTTGGATATTTTATATTTTTTAGCTTAACATTATTTTTTTTTAAACTCTGGGTACTTGTAGGGGAGATGGGTTGGAATAAAAACTGAATACATAAATACATTTAATCAATAGATGCCCCTCTGCTCCTCCTTATTTTTAAAGTGCTAACAAAATAATAGAGTTGGGTTTTTTTTGGGGGGGGGGCTTTCATGAAAAATGCAGCAGTCTTTCCTTGCTCTCATTTGGTCATCCTGCACCACTCCAGGCATGCTTCCACTTTCATTTCCAGCCCGATCCACAGATCATCCGTGCGCCCCAGAACACTCTCTTTCTTGGGCGGGGAAGGGGGGGTCCATCCTAATTTTTCCAAAGTGGGAAGAGACCCCCACCCCACCCCAAGACCACAACCTTTAGGAAACCCCAGAGGGAAGGAGGTGGGGGGGGGTCTCAATCATCCCACCCACCCCCAGTTTCCCTCCCTTTGCGCGCGCGCCCCCCAACCCAGTGAGCGCCAGGAGCGGCGCGCGGGCTGAGCTCCTTCCAGGTAGACTTCCCGGCGCTGGGGAGGCTCCACTTCGGAGCCCCACCAAGAGGCGGCTCCGGCCCGGCCCCGCGTTACCTTCCGGTAGGCTTTGAAGACGGTGGCGTAGGTGCCGCTGCCCAGCCGCTCGGTCAGCAGGAAGTCTTCCAGCTGCGGAGGCGCCCAGCCGGCCCCGGCCATCCCCGCGCAGCGCCGGCAGAAGCCAGGCGGCCGGGCCGGGCTGGCCTCTCCGAATCCCCCGCAGGAGGAGGAGGAGGAGGAGGAGGAGGCGGCGGCGGACGAGGCTCCTCCCGCTCCGCTTCCTGCTGGGCAGAGCCGAGCCAGCCGGGCGCCGAGAAGCGCAGCCGCCCCGCGCGCAACCGCCGGCTGGCAGCGGGCTTCCCCGGCGTGGGGGAGGGAGGAGAAGGACCGGGGGGGGGGGACTTGCTCCGGGGTAGAGACGGGCAGGGAGCCCCCGGCGCCGGTTTGAGCCGCTTTGCGCCAGGCGAGGGAAGGCACCCGGTTAGACGTCAGGAGAGGCAGGCGGTGAGTTCTAGTTCCACTTTCGGCAGGGCGGCGGGGTTGGGTGACTTTGAGCAGATCACTAAGCGGACGGAGAGCTCGTCTAGTCCCGCTTTAGGCGTGCAAAGGCGGCTGGGTGACCAGGGGCCAATCCCCAGGAGACGGGGAGTTCTAGTCCCGCTTTAGGCATGAAAGGCAGCTAGGTGACTTTAAGCAGATTACTAAGCAGATGGCGAGTTCTAGTTCCCCTTTAGGCGTGGAAAGGTGGCTGGGTGACCTTGGGCCAATCACCAGGAGACGGGGAGTTCTAGTCCCACCTTAAGTATGAAAGGCAGCTGGGTGACCAGGGGCCAATCACCAGGAGACAGTGAGTTCTAGTCCCGCTTTAGGCATTAAAGACGGCTGGGTGACCTTGGCCCAATCCCCAGGAGACGGAGAGTTCTAGTCCCGCTTTAGGCATGAAAGGTGGCTGGGTGACCAGGGGCCAAACACCAGGAGACGGTGAGTTCTAGTCCCGCTTTAGCCATGAAAGTTGGATGGTGACCTTGGGAACAGTCCCTCTCTTTGCCCAACCCCCCCCCCAAATTCAGGGTTTTTGTAGTGGGGAAAATAGGAAGAGGGACTATTAGATACGGTCTCTGCCTTGAGACTTGGTATTGTCTTCTTCTTGTTGTTGTTAGTTGTGAAGTCGCGTCTGATCCATTGCGACCCCATGGACAACGTTCCTCCAGGTCTTCCTGTCCTCTACCATCTTCTGGAGTCCATTTAAGTTCACGCCTCCTGCTTCAGTGACTCCATCCAGCCACCTCATTCTCTGTCGTCCCCTTCTTCTCTTGCCCTCCATCTTTCCCAGCATCAGGCTCTTCTCCAGTGAGTCCTTCCTTCTCATTAGATGGCCAAAGTATTTGAGTTTCAACTGCAGGATCCGGCCTTCTAAAGAGCAGTCGGGGTTGATCTCTAGGACTGACCGGTTTGATCGCCTTGCAGTCCAGGGGACTTGCAGGAATCTTCTCCAGCACCAGAGTTCAAAGGCCTCAATTCTTTGGCGCTCAGCCTACGTTGCAACTGGGAAAACTGGTGTTGTGTTACAAAGTCATAAAATTGGAGGGTGTGCAAACAAGCCACCGAGACTCAGTCTGTCACCGGGTACTTGAAAATGGTCTCTTGAAGCTAACCCATCCTTGGGAGCTGCCTTCAGAAATGAGTTTGCATCGTTCCCTCAAGATCTTCAGGAACAGAATATCACAAGGCGACAAGGCAATAAAAGAAACGCAGGTGCTCCCGGAGCTTAATGCCAGTCAAAGAAACGCACAATTACAAACAAACAAAAAAAAACCCGAGACGTTTCTACTAATTCTTGATATTTTTATTCTGCATTTAATAACAAACAAAAGTTTGACATATACATTTTTTTTACAGGGACAAAAAAAAAAAATAGAGGCGGAAAATACATCCTAGAGGGGAAGATTCTTTTTTTTTTCTTTTTTTAAAAAAAATCTCATTTCTGCCATCATTACATATCTTCAAAGAATAATAAAATAAAAAAGAGAGACAGAAACCAAGAGATACTTCCCTGGGATACATCCAACCTCACAAAGGTTTGGAAACATCTATTGGGGGGGGAACCCCCCAAAACATCTTATGTATTTTGGGGGAGGGGAGAAAGAGACACCAGGTTTACCTAAATGAGTAAAAAGCGAGGGGAAAAAATTGTTTAGCGAGACTGCAGCCTCATCTTAGTTCTCTGAACATTTCCCCCTTCATCAGATCTATTCAAAGCTCCTTCTAAGCCTCTGGTGTGCATCTTAGATCGCTTAAATTAGGTCGACGGAAGTAACCAAAGAGTATTTAGTGTTTTTTGAGACCTAGATCCCCAATTTCTACTTGAGCAATCGATCAAGCCTATCAGATGGGGGAAACTGAGGTTTTCCTTTTACACTGATTCGTTCGCAGAGGACTCAAAACAGGCCTTTGAGGAGACACCGAATGTTTTTAACAGCTGTCAATCATCGCTGGGGTTGAATAACAAGACAGTAAGATTTTGGACGTTAAGAATGGCCTGCCATCCATTCTGCCCCAAATAAGCCTTGGCTAAAACCATGGTCTCTCTCTCCAAACTATTATTTTGAAATCAGAGGTGCCGGCAACTGAAAAATCTGATAAAAAATCAGAGGAGATGTTTCCATAGGCCAATTTATTTTTGGGGGGAGAACTAGGGGCTTTTGCTAACATGCTCTTTTTGAAGAACTGTTTGGCAGTTGTATTGAAGCTGGGCGAGGAAGGCAGAGAGACCAAACCAGATAGGACAGCATTGAGTAAAATCAACACCGGATTACCCAAATTAGAAATATTTGCCCTCTTCATCTCAATGTTTGCTCCGCTGTTTAACTTGAAAGCCTCATCCCCTCCTTTCACATTCCAGGTTGCTAGCTTCTCAGGGGCCAGTGTGGCTGGTGAATAAGCCTTTATCCTCCCCAACAATCTGCAACGGTTCAACCCCAAATAGGAAACCTGGTTTTAGTGGCTTTAGGGAGGGAGGGGGAAAAAGCAAGGAGTGTCCTTCAGAAATTGTCTTCCGTATCTCCCAGAAAACACACACTAGGGGGAAATGGCCATGCGCTCCTCACCCTACGCTGGCTGGCAGCTAACGAGTCTTCGGCTAATTAAAAATCAACAAGGACAGCAGCTGGGACGATGAGGAGAAGGGAAGTGATTGTTCATTGACGCTTCCAGTGGGAACGGCAAGAGTGCCAGACTGCTTTTCCCCCAAACGCCGGCAACGGAAGAAATGGAAAGCGCAAGAAATAAGTCAAAAAGATGTATATTGGAAAGGAGAGAGGGAGAGAGGAAGGGAAGGGGGGGGGGGAGGAAAATCACACAAAAGTTAGACACCCTAATCTTTGCACTTTCCCACGAGACACGGATGGAGAACAGGGCAAGGTTTCAGAGAAAGCTCCCGGCCAGTCTCTTGGGAGTTAAGACTATCCCGCCCGCCACCCCGTGGGGAGAGAACCGCCTGAACGTTGAGGATCAGGTACCATCCGGAAGGGAAGCAGGNGGGCAGGGAGCCCCCGGCGCCGCTTTGGGCCAGGCGAGGGAAGGCACCCGGTTAGACGTCAGGAGAGGCAGGCGGTGAGTTCTAGTTCCACTTTCGGCAGGGCGGCGGGGTTGGGTGACTTTGAGCAGATCACTAAGCGGACGGAGAGCTCGTCTAGTCCCGCTTTAGGCGTGCAAAGGCGGCTGGGTGACCAGGGGCCACAATCCCCAGGAGACGGGGAGTTCTAGTCCCGCTTTAGGAATGAAAGGCAGCTAGGTGACTTTAAGCAGATCACTAAGCAGATGGCGAGTTCTAGTCCCACCTTAAGTATGAAAGGCAGCTGGGTGACCAGGGGCCAATCACTAGGAGACAGTGAGTTCTAGTCCCGCTTTAGGCGTGCAAAGGCGGCTGGGTGACCAGGGGCCAATCACCAGGAGACGGGGAGTTCTAGTCCCGCTTTAGGCATGAAAGGCAGCTAGGTGACTTTAAGCAGATCACTAAGCAGATGGCGAGTTCTAGTTCCCCTTTAGGCGTGGAAAGGTGGCTGGGTGACCTTGGGCCAATCACCAGGAGACGGGGAGTTCTAGTCCCACCTTAAGTATGAAAGGCAGCTGGGTGACCAGGGGCCAATCACCAGGAGACAGTGAGTTCTAGTCCCACTTTAGGCGTGCTAAGGCGGCTGGGTGACCAGGGGCCAATCACCAGAAGACGGTGAGTTCTACTCCCGCTTTAGGCATGAAAGGCAGCTAGGTGACTTTAAGCAGATCACTAAGCAGATGGCGAGTTCTAGTTCCCCTTTAGGCTTGCAAAGGCGGCTGGGTGACCTTGGGCCGATCACCAGGAGACCATGAGTTCTAGTCCCACCTTAAGTATGAAAGGCAGCTGGGTGACCAGAGGCCAATCACCAGGAGACAGTGAGTTCTAGTCCCACTTTAGGCATTAAAGATGGCTGGGTGACCTTGGCCCAATCACCAGGAGACGGAGAGTTCTAGTCCCGCTTTAGGCATGAAAGGTGGCTGGGTGATCGGGGCCAATCACCAGGAGACGGTGAGTTCTAGTCCCGCTTTAGGCATGAAAGTTGGGAACAGTCCCTCTCTTTGCCCAACCCCCCCCCCCAAGTCAGGGTTTTTGTAGTGGGGAAAATAGGAAGAGGGACTATTAGATACGGTCTCTGCCTTGAGTTATTGATAAAGGTGGATATAAATTAACAAACCCAAGCATGGCCTTCGGCATTCTTGGGGAACAAAGCCTATGGGAGGGCCTGGGGTGTCCTCTGGCAGCTCCGTTTGGAGGGATCCCCCATCTCTAAACTTCTCTCTCACCCACTCACTCACACAGAACTTGTGCAAACCCAGCCTGTGTTAAGTTTGTGACTTGGTATTGTCTTCTTCTTGTTGTTGTTAGTTGCGAAGTCGCGTCTGATCCATTGCGACCCCATGGACAACGTTCCTCCAGGTCTTCCTGTCCTCTACCATCTTCTAGAGTCCCTTTAAGCTCACGCCTACTGCTTCAGTGACTCCATCCAGCCACCTCATTCTCTGTCGCCCCCTTCTTCTCTTGCCCTCAGTCTTTCCCAGCATTAGGCTCTTCTCCAGTGAGTCCTTCCTTCTCATTAGGTGGCCAAAGTACTTGAGTTTCAACTTCAGGATCTGGCCTTTTAAAGAGCAGTCAGGGTTGATCTCCTCTAGGACTGACCGGTTTGATCGCCTTGCAGTCCAGGGGACTCGCAGGAGTCTTCTCCAGCACCAGAGTTCAAAGGCCTCAATTCTTTGGCGCTCAGCCTACGTTGCAACTGGGAAAACTGGTGTTGTGTTACAAAGTCATAAAATTGGAGGGTGTGCAAACAAGCCACCGAGGCTCAGTCTGTCACAGGGTACTTGAAAATGGTCTCTTGAAGCTAACCCATCCTTGGGAGCTGCCTTCAGAAATGAGTTTGCATCACTCCCTCAAAATCTTCAGGAACAAAATATCACAAGGCGACAAGGCAATACAAGAAACGCAGGTGCTATGGGGCTTAATGCCGGTCAAAGAAACGCACAATTACAAACAAACCAAAAAAAACCCACGACGTTTCTACTAATTCTTGATATTTTTATTCTGCATTTAATAACAAACAAAAGTTTGACATATACATTTTTTTTACAGGGACAAAAAAAAAAATAGAGGCGGAAAATACATCCTAGAGGGGAAGATTCTTTTTTTTTTCTTTTTTTAAAAAAAATCTCATTTCTGCCATCATTACATATCTTCAAAGAATAATAAAATAAAAAAGAGAGACAGAAACCAAGAGATACTTCCCTGGGACGTACTGGGATACATCCAACCTCACAAAGGTTTGGAAACATCTATTGGGGGGGGGAACCCCCCAAAACATCTTATGTATTTTGGGGGAGGGGAGAAAGAGACACCAAGTTTACCTAAATGAGTAAAAAGCGAGGAAAAAAAATTGTTTAACGAAACTGCAGCCTCATCTTAGTTCTCTGAACATTTCCCCCTTCATCAGATCTATTCAAAGCTCCTTCTAAGCCTCTGGTGTGCATCTTAGATCGCTTAAATTAGGTCGACGGGAGTAACCAAAGAGTATTTAGTGTTTTTTGAGACCTAGATCCCCAATTTCTACTTGAGCAATCGATCAAGCCTATCAGATGGGGGAAACTGAGGTTTTCCTTTTACACTGATTCGTTCGCAGAGGACTCAAAACAGGCCTTTGAGGAGACACCGAATGTTTTTAACAGCTGTCAATCATCGCTGGGGTTGAATAACAAGACAGTAAGATTTTGGACGTTAAGAATGGCCTGCCATCCATTCTGCCCCAAATAAGCCTTGGCTAAAACCATAGTCTTTCTCTCCAAATAATTATTTTGAAATCAGAGGTGCTGGCAACTGAAAAATCTGATAAAAAATCAGAGATGTTTCCATAGGCCAATTTTTTTTTTTTTTTTTTGAGAACTAGGGGCTTTTGCTAACATGCTCTTTTTGAAGAACTGTTTGGCAGTTGTATTGAAGCTGGGCGAGGAAGGCAGAGAGACCAAACCAGATAGGACAGCATTGAGTAAAATCAATACAGGATTACCCAAATTAGAAATATTTGCCCTCTTCATCTCAATGTTTGCTCCGCTGTTTAACCTGAAAGCCCCATCCCCTCCTTTCACAATCCAGGTTGCTAGCTTCTCAGGGGCCAGTGTGGCTGGTGAATAAGCCTTTATCCTCCCCAACAATCTGCAACGGTTCAACCCCAAATAGGAAACCTGGTTTTAGTGGCTTTAGGGAGGGAGGGGGAAAAAGCAAGGAGTGTCCTTCAGAAATTGTCTTCCGTATCTCCCAGAAAACACACACTAGGGGGAAATGGCCATGCGCTCCTCACCCTACGCTGGCTGGCAGCTAACGAGTCTTCGGCTAATTAAAAATCAACAAGGACAGTAGCTGGGACGATGAGAAGGGAAGTGATTGTTCATTGACGCTTCCAGTGGGAACGGCAAGAGTGCCAGACTGCTTTTCCCCCAAACGCCGGCAACGGAAGAAATGGAAAGCGCAAGAAATAAGTCAAAAAGATGTATATTGGAAAGGAGAGAGGGAGAGAGGAAGGGAACCCCCCCCTCCTTTTAGTGTGTTTTCAATCTGTGGGATTAGAAACGTGAAAGGGTGCTCTGTGCCTACCTCTTGTCCCGTTCCAAAGTCTCTTTCGAGGGCCGGTCAGAGAACCCTCAATTCTGATAGGGCGGGCGGTGGGGCACCCCTCTCTTGGCGGACTTGCAACTCCTAGTCCATGGTAGGCCTTCCCTTCGTCCACCCTCGCTGGGGAATTTCAGTTTCCCCGGAAAGCATTCTGAGCCGCCGTGGAAGCTGCCCCGCTAGCGGCCGTCTGAAAGCTCCTGTTGCTGAGGATGCCTTGGGAGAATTCTTCCTGGGCTCTCTGGAAGCTGGCGCCGGTCCGGCGATAGAGCGAGTGGACCTTTGGGAGTGGACAAAGCAAGGTGAGAACTTCGGTTAAAAGCCCCAGCGGGAGGTCCAGAGCTGGCTCCGTTCACCCCCTGTTCCAGCGGAGAAGACCACCACCCAACCGCAGCATGATGGGGGATGGCACTCTGGCCAGTTCTGCAAATGTTGCATGCGTCAACTTACGACCCTTCATTTAGCAACCATTTAAAGCAGTGTTTCTCAACCTTGACAATTTTAAGGCATGTGGACTTCAACTCCCAGAATTCCACAGCCAGCAATGCTGGCTGTGGAATTCTGGGAGTTGAAGTCCACATGCCTTAAAATTGTCAAGGTTGAGAAACACTGATTTAAAGTGATGGGGGTGCTGGTCCTCCTGCTTAACAAGTGTCGCAGCATCCCCCTGGCCAGTTTTGTTCAACAAATCATGGCTTAGTAACCACGAATGTAGTACTAATGGGGCAAATGCCCACAGAGTCATGACAAAAATATTCTAGAACAGAGGTCCCCAACTTTTTGGGCACCGGGGACCGGTTCCGTGGAGAGAGGTTTTTCCACGGACCGGAGAGTGCGTGGTTTTGTGTGCTGCCTACATCCCGTGGATGCGGCTTTGTTTGTGTGGACCGGTTGCTGGCATGCTGCGGCCCGGTACTGATCCATGGACTGGGGGTTGGGGACCCCTGTTTTAGAAACATATGAGTAGTCCTCAGCTTACAACAGTTCAGTTAGTGACACAACGGCACTGAAAAAAGCGACTTACCACTGTTTTTCACACTGACAACCGTTGCAGCATCCCCATATGGGGGTCAGGTGATCAAACCAACCCATATTTATGACAGCTGCAGTGTCCCGGGGTCACGTGATCCCCTTTTGTGACCTTTTGACAAAGCCAATGGGGAAGTGAGTTTCCCTTAACAATTGGGGCGACTCACTTATCCACTGCGGTGATTTTACTGAAGAACCGTGGCAACCCAAGAGGTAAAAGGGGGAAAAACTCACAGCTAACGTCTCGCTTAGCAACATAAATTTTGGGCTCAATTGTTTTATTGTACTGTGAGTGATACCGAGTTTATAGGACAGCATATATTCTCCCCTTATTAGAGAGATTGCCAGGGAGGGCAGACAATTTTTATGTAGGTTTTCTCCTGCAGGACTCAAAACCCTTCTATCACGCATGCAGTGGCAAAATACTGTGTTGCGGCCATGTCCACAAGAAAAAAATTGGTTACAGATCTATAGCCGTCCACTTGTGCCAATTTTTTGGGAGGTATCTCTAATAATGTTTGGAACATTATATTTACTCACACGCTAATCGGCTATCCACTCACGTAAACTAGGGAGTGACCCTAACATTTTGAGAACATGTATTTTCTTAACAGGGATGTTATTTACTATTAATGATGTTGTTATTATTATTATTATTATTATTATTATTATTATTATTATTTAATATATTGTAAAAAGTGATGGCTATTGCTGGTCTACGACCATAATAAAGTTATTTGATTTGGGCTCAATTGTGGTCGTAAGTCGAGGACAACCTGTCATCAGTGGGGCAGGCAACTAGGCTCCTTTCGGATATTCGGGGAGGTGGGATCTGTCAGCCCCACTTGGCCTAGAAAAAGGGCAGGGAGGGAGGTGGTGACCTCCAATTGCTGCAGGGTTAAATCTGCTTTTTCTTCGTGGGAAGAGGGAGGAAGGCTACTTAAAGATCCACATGGCAATGACTGCAGGACTCTAATCCAGGGCTTTTCAACCAGGGGTACAGGTACCCCCTGTGGTACATTGGCACCTGGCAGGTGGTACGCGACCAGCCTAGAGAAGTGGTAGTGGGGGGGGGGGATGAGCTGAACCAATGGCAGTACTCCACAAGCCTGAGCGAGAGACGGCTGGAGCTGCAGGGATGTCAGGGCTCAGCGGAAGCGCCAGGATCAGCGCCAGGCTCCAGCTGGAGCTCGGCGCTGATCCTGGCTCTTCTGCTGAGCCCAGAAGATCAGCAGGAATGTTGCAGCATCTCCAGGGTCTTGTTGCAGCATCTCCAGGGTCTTGTGATTTACATTCAGATGCTTGGCAACCGATTCATATTTATGACGGTCACAGTGTCCCAGGGTCATGTGAAGTGACCAAAACCTGCTGCAACCACCCAGCAGACAGAGGGAATAAAAACCAAACACCCCCCACCCCACCCCCGCTGCCAATCCTCAACAGAAATGCTCACAACAATGAAAACCTCGGACAGGAGGAAGAGCGCCACCGGGTGGGCAGGCAGGTGTCTTGCTCGGCTGTGGCTTGGGGGACACTTTTTTCAGTGCCATTGTAACTTCGAACAGTCACTAAGCGAACTGTTGTAAGCTGAGGACTATCTGTACTTCATCACTTTTTTCCTTTTTTTTTTTTTTTGGTCATCAAGTTTTTGACCCCTTGCTAGGCGACTGGTGGTCCTCGGATGTTGCCATATCCTAAAAGCCCTGATCTAAACCACTGTCAGTCATTTGTCTTTCTGCAGGCAACTCACTCGCTTCAGCAAGAAGATGGAGAGAATGGCGCCGGTTGTGAAGAACACGGCCACCACCATCATGATAATCTTCACGGCCCAGTTTGTGGTCATGGAGAGGGCCAAAATCCAGCCGCTGAAGGGGGAAAAAAAAAAGGAAGGGGGGGATATTGAACGAGCAGGAATTCAATTGCACGGAGAAGGGAGAATCAATACTGCGGAGGAAGGAGGCCAGCTGTGTCAAAGGACCACCCGATTCCCTTGGAGGTTCCTAAGAAGCTACTTGGAAGAATAAACCGACGTCTCTGCCACAGACTCCGCTCTAAAGAGAGCAGTCTGGTCTAAAAGGGCTCAGGCTCTCACTGGTGGTAGCCAGGAATATGTGTCTAGGGCAGTGGTGGCGAACCTATGGCACGGGTGCCAGAGACGGCACTCAGAGCCCTCTCTGTGGGCACGCGCGCCATCGCCCCAGTCCTTCAGCTGGGTTTTATAAAACCTTTTCGCTTTAGGCCTCCGCCACTGTGTACAAAAAAAAAAAGGTTCAATCAGTCAATTTCAACTTCTCGCGGGAAAAAAAAATCTTGCAAAGTTGGAATTGATTGATTGAACTTTTTAGTCCCACCCAGTCTGCCGTTACCACCACAGCCACGCCCACCCAATGGGCCACGCCCACCCAGCACCCGACGACACATAGTGGGTTCTGGGTTGCAGTTTGGGCACTCGGCCTCTAAAAGGTTCGCCATCACTGGTCTATGGAGACTGTCAGTCATCCAGGTCATGGTTGTCTCAAAGGTGCGTTTTCAAAAGGCAATTCGACTTTTCTTGGTTTTTCCTGGAAAACCTCCTTCGCTTCTCATCCAAGAAGCTTCGTCGGTTCTGGGTTTACTCCTGGTATAAGCCAGACATATGCAACCAACTGAATCTGCTAAGTCCACTTTGTCCGAAAGCTGGACTGCTCGGGGCTTCTCTGTGGTTCTCTCCCCCTCCCTGGTTGACTTTGTCCGGTCAAATGATTTCAGGACACACACACAGACTACCTCCTACCCCAGATTTGATTCGGTCGGTTTCTTGAGGAAGAAAAAAGAGGAAGGTTACGGAGATGAAGGTTGAGGACCGCTAAGTCCAGAATGCCTTGAATGAGTGAGAACTGAAAACACAGCCAGGGATGGAAAGAGGCAGAAAAAAGGGTGGGGAAGAGAGCGCAGGAGGGAGAGAAAGAGGGGATAGGGGAGAGAGGGAGAGGCAGAGAAGGAGAAAGCAGGAGGGAGGGAGAAGGAGAGAAAGGGAAAGGGGAGATGGAGAGGGTGAAAGGGAGAAAGTGGGAGGGAGGGAGAAGGAGGGAAAGGAGAGGGAGAGGGTGAAAGGGAGAAAGCGGGAGGGAGGGAGGAGAGAAAGGGAAAGGGGAGAGGGAGAAGGGGAGAGAATGGGAGAGGCAGAGGGAGGGAGGGAGAGAAAGGGAGAGACAGAGAGGGAGAAAGTGGGAGGGAAGGAGAAGGAGAGAAAGGGAAAGGGTGAGATGGGGAAGGGGAGAGGGAGAAAGTGGGACAGTGAGAGGAAGGAGAGAGAATGGGAGAGGCAGAAGGAGGGAGAGGGAGAAAGCGGGAGGGAGGGAGAAGGAGAGAAAGGGAAAGGGGAGAGGGAGAAGGGGAGAGGCAGAGAGGGAGAGAGGGAGAAAGAGAGCGAGAGGGAGAGTGAAAGGGAGAGAGAAGGGGAGAGGAAGAAGGGGACAGAGAGAAAGGGAGAGGCAGAGAGAGCGTACACCATCCAGAGATCAGAAAACATGCAAGGGGAAGGGGTGAGCACAGCACGGGTGGGATGCATGTGAGAAGGTTAGAAGAAATACAGGCCTTTTGGGCGAGGAGTGAGGGCAGGAAGCATGGAGTTAGAGGTGCTTCAGCTGGGATCTGTGGAAGCCGCAGACCAGGAGAAAAAAAAAAACAGAAGAGGCTTTAGAAAAGGGTAAGTAGAGAGCCCCCCCCCAAGGCAGCAGTTCTCTTCGTCTGTCAGCAAAAGGCAGATGTTCTGTCCGTCAGGGCTTTGGGGTAGCCCCGAGGCTTACCTGCTCCCCCAGTTAGGGATACCGACAGCCTGGACGACGAGGGTGATTACTTGGCAAAAAAATATGAAGAAGAAGAAGAAGAAACTGAAGGAGCTGTCAGACCTGTGAAGAGACAGGGAGAAAGTCAAGCCAGGGGCCGTCCCATGTGATAATTTCACTGAAGGCCCCTTTCAACTGTGGGAAGTCAGTCCCCCCCCCCTCAGAGAAGGAAATATTAAAAGGGCAGAAAAATATATTTCCTCAAAGGATCTTAAAGAGGCAAAAAAACATGCCCCAAGTCTCCCTCCCCCAAGCAGAAACCAGCTCTGTAGAAATGCAGATGTAATAATCCATTCAGAAAGGTTGGAGCCCTCCAGCTAGAAGCTTAGGAAGACAAAGACACCTAAAATCTACATACCCCACCCAAACTCTAAGACAGGATATAATAGGATTAACCCACCACCATCACAATACCAGAAAGGCACACTCAGACTCAGGTCAAAGTACATGACACAGGAAATACAAAGCAGGAAATTCAAACAGGAACAGGAAATAACCTCAAGAGCCCCAGAGGGTATAAAAACCCACTCCCTACATGTGCTCTCTCTCTTTTCTTCCAGAGCCATCTTTCTGTCTGGCTCTCCTTTTCAATAAACTGCAACCTTCTTTCTAAAGCAGTCGCCATGTTGTTTATTCCCGGCTTGGACTGGACCCTGATGAACATTTTTCCTTCAACACAATATTAGATGCCGCCAGCCCTGCCCTCCGGGAGGGACATGCTACTTGCCTGAAAGCCTTGTAAACTGGCCGATACCAACACAGGAAAGCGCAGGGGGTGAACAAGACAAGCCATAAGATGGACAGGCCGAAATCCGACCCTGTGGTAGAGGGTTCCACTGTGAACAACGCCAGGCAGGCGAGGAGGTTTAACACCAAGGTGACCGAGTAAACTGGCCAGGAGAGAAAAATAATAATAAATGCAGTCAGCGAAAAAGCTTTGCTAAAGCAGGGGTCTGCAACCTTGACAACTTTTAAGACTTGTGGACTTCAGCCCTGAGGAATTCTGGGAGCTGAAGTCCACAAGTCTTACAGTTGTCAAGGTTGCAGACCCCTGCGCTAAAGATCCGAAATGCGTAGGGATTTCCTCAAAGCCCCTGGGAGCGACAAATATGGATGCTCTTGCACCACCAAGGATTTTATTTTCTGGAGTGGTAACATGCTCTGGGATGCACAGACATGCTTCAACGACTGTTTTATTTGAAGGGACGGTCTGGCCCAAGTTCCTCCAATCGTACCTCCGTTTGATGAACCAAGCTGTCCAAAAAGTGTTTTTTGGCCTATCCTTTCCTCGCTTGGCAAAATGCTTTCTAAACTCTTGTACGCTGTCACCGCCTTGGTGAAATCAATTAAAAGTGAAAATCTTTTGTGCTGCTCCTAATCCAGAGGACAATGAGAGACTCTGCACCTTGGGCAAAGTGATCTTAAGTTCAAGGAGAGGTACATTCAGAAGCCAAATCCAACTTTTAAAATCTGAATGGGATAATAAGGGTAAGGCCTGTGCTTTTAATATGAACTGAGGCTTTTTCCCTTAGTCTTCCTCTCCCCCCACCCCCATCCCAAGCCAGAAGGAACCGCTTGTCAGCTGCCACCTTATGCTGACTTGTGCTTCGCTACCAGGCGGGGACAATCTGCCATGAACTCTGGGGAGAGTGGATGTAAAGGGAGATGCATGGGGGAAAGCGAAAGTAAATGCTGCATATTCTCCAGATGCTACCTCAAGGTCACCCGGCTGGGAGAAGGAGGCAGTGTGTACCAATCTATGCTTAAACTGACTGTTTTGAAAACATCTTGCTTGAACCTGATTGGTCATGGCGTGTGAGTGTGTGTGTGTGTGTGTTTGTTTGTGTGTGTTAGCAATGGGAAACTGTTAAGGCAGTCATGGTGAACCTTTTAGAGACCGAGTGCCCAAACTGCAACCCCAAACCCACTTATTTATCGCCAGGTGCCAGGTGGGCATGGCCCACTGGGTGGGCGTGGCTGTGGTGGTCATGGCAGAATGGGTGGGTGTGGCCAAGGTGGGCATGGTCACCTCGATGTTGCTCGTGGGCGGGGACTCCTGTGGGGGCCGGGCAGGGTTGGGGGAGATCCAGGGGGTCTCTGGTGGGTGGGACAGTGGCCAGGAGGCTCGTCCTGCAGGGTGAGGCGAGGTGAGGCAGGGCGGGGGTGCCATTGCCATGGGGCAAGGCGAGGCAGGAGCCAGGGCGGCTGCTGCCTGTCACCATCGGCCCCCGCACACAGAGGCCAGCGAGCGCATGGGGGCTGACAGTGTCCATCAGCAGCCACAGCCTGCCGGCCCCTCAACTGGTGCACTCTGGGGCTCCGCAGCCTACTGCCAGCAGTTCAGAGAAGCCGCCTCTGAGATTGACGGACGGCCGACAGCTGAGGAGGCCATGCAGTGGGTCCTGCCTAGGAAAAGGAGAGCATGTGAGGCCAGGAGGGATAGGATGGGGGGGGGGAGAGAAACCAGCCGTGCTGGGATGCATTCGGCCACGTGGGACCTTGGCAAGTTAGCGGGCGGCTGCTTGAAGAGGGACGGTTGCCATCTCCGGGCCATGGTGCGCGTGCCCATAGAGAGGGCTCTGAGTGCCGCCTCTGGCATGCATGGCATAGGTTCGCCACCACTGCGCGATTCTCAATTCTGGCTATGCTTAACTGCAATACACTTGACTTCTAATAAAACTATACCTTTCCCGAGCTAAGGGTCGTTTTCACTCAGAGGTTAAAGACGTGGTGGAAATGGAAAGGAGCAGCACCAACCGTGCACCTCCAATTGGTTTTGGTTTTGTTTTTACATATTTTTAAAACTCAAACAAAAAAAATTCCAATGTTTCATGATCTCGGAGAAGCTTCCCAGCCTCTTTGCTTCGGCGCTTTTACTCACACATCCATAAGTAATACATCATTTTGCAAATGTGCTGATAGTCGGCTGGGATGTCTGCAGAGAAATCTTGATAGAAGCAAGGCTTGACGGGGCAGAACCTTGGAAGCGGGGGCCAGTTGTTCTGTTTTGCTGGAGGGGAGAAAAGAGAATGCCTTTCAGGAAGGGCTTCCACCATGATGCCAGAATTTGGAAGCCTGCCCTGAGGAGGGGGGGTTGGAGAAGATGTCTTCCTCATTTATTATTTGGGGGGGGGGCTTGAACATTAAAGAGAAGAGCAACAAAGATGATTAAGGGATTGGAGGCTCAAATATATAAAGAGTGGTTGCAGGAATTGGGTATGTCTACTTTAATGAAGAGAAGGACAAGGATTGACATGATACCAATATTCCAATCTCTGAGGGGCTGCCCCAAAGAAGAGGGAGTCAAGCAAAAGAAGAGGGGGGTCCCACATATTCTCCAAAGCACCCGAAGGCAGGACAAGAAGCAACGGATAGAAACTAATCAAGGAGAGAAGCAACCTAGAACTAAGGAGAAACTTCCTGACAGTTAGAACAATTAACCAGTGGAACAACCTGCCTCCAGAAGCGGTGAATCGAGGTTGTGACCTTCAAAAATTCTTCTCTGACCTGTCGGTAAACAGACTTTACCATAAAGTCCCAAAGGACGGACTCGTCCCCCAACCTGATATTATTATATTATATTATTATTTCAACCTTCCCTGGAACCTCCAGTAGATCAGGTTGGGGGACGAGTCCGTCCTTTGGGACTTTTACCATTTCGGACAAATGGCTGTCCAGTCTCTTCTTAAGGACTTCCAGTGCTGGAGCATTCACCGCTTCTGGAGGCAGGTTGTTCCACTGGTTAATTGTTATAATTGTCAGGAAGTTTCTCCTTCATTCCAGGTTGCTTCTCTCCTTGATTAGTTTGCACCCATTGCTTCTTGTCCTGCCTTCAGGCACTTTGGAGAATAGCTTGACTCCCTCTTCTTTGGGGCAGCCCCTGAGATACTGGAAGGCTGCTATCCTGTCCCCCCTCGTCCTTCTCTTCATTAAACTAGACATACCCAATTCCAGCAGCCATTCCTTATATGTTTTAGCCTCCAGTCCCCTAATCACCTTTGTTGCTCTTCTCTTTACCCTTTCTAGAGTCTCAGCATCTTTTTTACATCGTGGTGACCAAAACTGGATGCTGTATTCCAAGTGTGGCCTTACCAAGGCATTGTAAAGTGGTATTAACACTTCACGTGATCTTGATTCTATCCCTCTGTTAATGCATCCTAGTACTGTGTTGGCTTTTTTGGCAGCTGCAGCACACGGCTGGCTCATATTTAAGTGATTGTCCACTAGGACTCCGAGATCCCTCTCACAGTTACTGCTATTGAGCAAGGTACCCCCTACACTATACCTGTGCATTTGGTTTGTCTAGGTCCCTTCCAACTCTGTTATTACTCACGGTCAAAGCCTGCTGCGCTGTTCTGAAGTTCACGCTCCTTTCTGTCCAATTCCGCAGCTTTCTTTTCTAATTCCTCTTGCTGCTTCAGAAGCCCCGCCTGTGCTGATGAGGCCACAGACTGAAAACGGGGGAGAAGAAATAAAAAGTATTAGAAAGGGGAAGAGGAGGGTTTAAAGCAAATTCTAGGGGATGGGCAGGGGTGCTAGTGAAAGAGCCTGTACCTATACATTCTTTTGGAGTGGAGGTTGTATCACTTTCTACCCCTTAACATGGCAGTTTTTAAAATATAGGGACTTCAACTGCCCGAGTTCCCCTGATTCATTTAAGAACTGTGGCAAGAAAGGTGGTAAAAAAGGGGCAAAACTCAGGCAACCCATTGTCTTGCTCACCAAGAGAAATTCGCTCAACTGTGGTGTTAAAGTCAAGGAACACCGGTATATATTTGAAAAGGGTGCTCAACTTTCTGAGGACAGAGTGTGCATTGCACTCCTAAAATATCATCCACATCTCGGATGGGCACGCACGCAGACTCATCCTTTTTATCTTCCTGGAGGTGAGTCCCAAGCATTTTGATTGGGCCCAAGATGCCGCCATGCTCCTTAGCAGCTCCGTGACAAGAAAGGTCATCAAATGGGGCAACTGTCCCGCTTATTAATGGCAACTTTGGGCTCCGTTGTGGTCGTATGTTGAGGACCACCTGTAACTTCCTAGAGCAGGGGTGGGGAACCTGGGCTCTTTCATGACTTGTGGACTTCAACTCCCAGAATTCCTGAGCCAGCATGAGAAGAGCAACAAAAATGATTAGGGGACTGGAAGCTAAAGCCTATAAGGAACGGTTGCTGGAATTGAGTATGTCTAGTTTAATGAAGAGAAGGACGAGAGGGGACATGATAGCAGTCTTCCAGTATCTCAGGGGCTGCCCCAAAGAAGAGGGAGTCAAGCTATTCTCCAAAGCGCCTGAAGGCAGGACAAGAAGCCACGGATGGAAAAACTAATCAAGGAGAGAAGCAATCTAGAACTAAGGAGAAACTTCCTGACAGTTAGAACAATTAACCAGTGGAACCACCTGCCTCCAGAAGCAGTGAATGCTCCAACACTGGAAGTTTTTAAGAAGAGACTGGATAGCCATTTGTCTGAAATGGTATAGGGTTTCCTGCCTGAGCAGGGGATTGGACTAGATGACCTCCAAGGTCCCTTCCAACTTTATTATTATTATGGATCATCGCATAGTCAGCCAGATGTTCAGACTGGATTTTTGTCTACCTATCGAGTCCTTACCCAGGACCTGGGATAGGCAGATGTGGATGTTTAATGGTATTACAGATATCGTCGCAGGATGGAAGCAGTTCCTAGTAAGGCCGCCTTTTGCAATTGACTAATGGCGAGTTTGTCAATGCCAATAATGTTCCAGTGGTGCTCCAGTTGTTTTGGGATTGCACCCAAGGCGCCTATTACTATTGGTACTACCCTTCTTTGCCTTTGCCACAGTCTTTCTATTTCTATTTGTAGGTCTTTGTATTTTGTCATCTTCTCCAGTTCTTTCTCGTCTATTCTGCTGTCTCCAGGCACTGCCACGTCCACTATCCAGACTTTTTTGTCTTTCTAGTGGACGTGGCATTGCCTGGAGACAGCAGAATAGACGAGAAAGAACTGGAGAAGATAACAAAATACAAAGACCTACAAATATTATTATTATTATTACTATTACTATTATTACTGTTACTATTACTATGATTACTATTATTATTATAATTATATTATATTATTATTATAAAAGAGCCCTGGTTCCCCACCCCTGTCCGAGAGGAAGGGGTACAACAGTCTTCAGGTGTTACTGGCTACTCTTTTGCGTTTTACCTGCCGGCGAGTCTGACTGCTGCTGTCCTCTAGCAACTTCTGCCTCTCTGAACCTTCTGAATTTGCTGAGATGAATTTAGGAGTCAGGTACTTGCTGGCCTGTCTAAGCAGCAGCTGCAACACACAACTAGGCTTGTTCTAAGCTTATGGGACGGGCCTGGTCTGCTAGCTTCTGCAACGGAGTAACTCGCACCCAAAACAGGTTAGACAAGTAAGGCAAAGGCAGGGGAAAGAGGAAAAAAAAATTGCACATGGGAAAACAGACCGCTAGGAATGCATTTAATGCCCCTCTTTCCTCATCACAAGGAAGAAAAATTAAATATTCTTCTGGTTTTAAGCTCTTTGGGGGAAGAGGTTTAGGCAAAGCCCCTGTCGCCCGTGGAGACGCTGATTGCTGAGGTTTTTGCAAAACTTGTCTTTCTGTCATTGGCTTAATCTGGGAGCCAGGAGTCTCTGCACACTGGATGCCAAATCCCATCCGCCCCAGCAAACAACTAAGGGGGTGCCTGGCAGGCAGAATACTTGAGACAAAACAGCTGAAGAGGAAGGAAAAACCGAGGCCATGAAGAAACTAGACCAGGGGTAGGCAACCTTGGCTCTTTTATGACTCATGGACTTCAACTCCCAGAATTCCTGAGCCAGCTATGCTGGCTCAGGAATTCTGGGAGTTGAAGTCCATGAGTCATAAAAGAGCCAAGGTTGCCTACCCCTGAACTAGACTGTGGAAACCCCAAAGTCAAAGGAACAAGAATACAGAAAGATGGAGACACCGTCAAACAGGAAAAGAGGGAATATTTGTAGCTCAGGGTTGACCTATGGCAGTGATGGCGAACCTTTTAGAGACCGAGTGCCCAAACTGCAACCCAAAACCCACTTATATATCGCCGGGTGCCAGGTGGGCGTGGCCCACTAGGTGGGCGTGGCTGTGATGGTCATGGCAGACTGGGTGGGTGTGGCCAAGGTGGGCATGGTTACCTTGATGTTGCTCGTGGGGAGGGACGCCTGTGGGGTCTCAGCAGGTTGGGGGATATCTGGGGGGTCTCTGGCAGATGGGGCAGTGGGCAGGAGGCTCGTCCTGCAGGGTGACGCGAGGCAAGGTGAGGCAGGGCGGGGGTGCCATTGTTGCAGGGCAAGGCAAGGCCGGGACGGCTGCTGCCTGACACCGTCGGCCCCCGCATACAGAGGCCAGCGAGCGCATGGGGACCGACAGTGTCTGTCAGCAGCCACAGCCTGCCGGCCCCTCGACCGGTGCACTCTGGGACTCCGCAGCCCATCGCCAGCAGTTCAGAGAAGCCAGATAGCTGATAGCTGAGGAGGCAATGCGGTGGGTCGTGCCCGGGAAAAGGAGAGCATGTGAGGCCAGGAGGGATGGGACGGAGGGGAGGGAAACCAGTCGTGCTGGGATGCATCCGGCCACGTGGGACCTCGGCGAGTTAGCGGGCGGCTGGTTGAAGAGGGACGGTTGCCATCTCCGGGCCATGGCGCGGGTGCCCACAGAGAGGGCTCTGAGTGCCGCCTCTGGCACGCGTGCCATAGGTTCGCCACCACTGACCTATGGGGTTCTTGGTGAGCTTTTCTTACAGATGTTTCATAGCCCAACTAGGTAACATCATCAGTGCTAGAAGGGAGAGGGGTTTGCAGAGTGGAGGAGAAGGATGATGTTACCCAGTCTGGTAATGAAACATCTGCAAGAAAACTACCAAGCTCAGAGAGCATCAAAACAGACAAAACAGAGAAGCAAAGAATGAGCAGGGGAAGCAAAATTTAGGCAAAGGTCCTGAAGTGGCCAGTGCACTTCTAAAATTAGAGAAGGATTTGGCAGCAAATATTCCAGGTTAGTGACAGTGGCAGGAGGTTAATTTAACCCAGCCTGGTCCCATGTCACATTAGCCTTCTTCCTCTTGGCCCCTCCCCCAGAGGTGCAGAGACCGCATCTCCCAGAATCCTCTGAGCAAGCTATGAACCCTGGGAGTTGGAATCCCAACCTTACCGGAGAAGGGGAGTGGCAAAGGAGTGTTCCAGATGAAATACCCAGAACACGAGCTTGTTTTTCCCTTTAGCCTTCTCTTCCTTATGAGCAGAGGCCAAAAAAATACAAAATGCACAGAAAAGGACATTGAGATACCTTTTCCAGGGGGCTAGCACCCTGATCAGCACTTCATGGGCCTGTCTGTTAGGGTATAGCTTAGGATATGGGATGAAGTCCTGCAGAGGCAGACTCTAATAATGCAAGGAGTGAAGGGGGGAGGGGGTGCACCTGTGGGGTGGGCTCCACTGAGGTCTGCAGCACGGCAGGTTGAGACGCACCAGCAGGCTGTGTTGTTGGGATGGGCTGACCTGTGTTTGCCTAAAGGAAGAAAGGAAAACATTTATTATTATTACTATTACTATTGTTGTTTTGTTGTTGTTGTTGTTATTATTATTATGGATCATCGCACAGTCAGCCAGATGTTCAGACTGGATTTGGCATTCTGTCTACCTATCGAGTCCTTCCCAAGGACCTGGGATAGGCAGATGTGGATGTTTGATGGTATTACAGATATCGTCGCAGGATGAAAGCAGTTCCTAGTAAGGCCGCCTTTTGCAATTGACTAATGGAGAATTTGTCAATGCCGATGATGGTGTTCCAGTGGTGCTCCAGTTGTTTTGGGACTGCACCCAAGGCGCCTATTACTATTGGTACTACCCTTGCTTGCCTTTGCCACAGTCTTTCTATTTCTATTTGTAGGTCTTTGTATTTTGTGATGTTCTCCAGTTCTTTCTCGTCTATTCTGCTGTCTCCAGGCACTGCCATGTCCACTATCCAGACTTTTTTGTCTTTCTTATCGACAATTGTTAAGTCCGGGGTGTTATGTTGCAGGTGCTTGTCTGTTTGAATTCTGAAGTCCCAGAGCAGTTTAACTTTATCTTTTTTATGACTTTCTCTATTTTATGATCCCACCAGTTCTTGCTTACAGGCAAATGATATTTCTTGCAGATCTTCCAATGCACCATTGTTGCTACTTTGTCATGCCGCTGCTTGTAGTCGGTCTGTGCGATCTTCTTGCAGCAGCTTACCAGGTGGTCCACTGTTTCTTCATCTTCTTTGCATATTATTATTATTATTATTATTATTATTGTCATCGTCATCATTACTATTATTGAAATTTGTCTGCCACCCCACAAGGTGACTCTAGGTGGCTTACAACATCAAAGTAGAACTGTAGGTATGTAGGTATGTAAAATTGCAATAAAAATACAGGTTATAACTAGAACTAAAAGATGTGGAGGAAGGGAGCAGATATCAGAAAGTGGGAGATAAAGAGTTATCTCCAACCAGCTCCTAATTATTTATTTAAAAAAAAAAACATTTATGTAACTACCCAGGACCCAGACTGTTGAGGGCCATATGCTGACTCCGTAAACCGGAGGGCTGTAAAGCACTGTGAAGCGGTATGTAAGTCTACGGTAGGGGTCTTCAAACTTGGCCCTTTGATGACTTGTGGACTTCCAACTCCCAGAATTCCTCAGCCAGGCACGCTGGCTGAGCAATTCTGGGAGTTGAAGTCCACAAGTCATCAAAGGGCCAAGTTTGAAGACCCCTGGTCTAAGGGCTATTGCTCTTTCAACCAACTTTGGGCAGCCCCCAATCAACAATTTAAAAGAACATATAAAATCTCTGAAAACTGCATACCGCGTAGCTGTTGAGCATCCAGAATATTGCTCCAAAGGTCCCCCCCCCCTAGGGATCCAACCATGTCAGTCAAGATTGACTCTAACCCTGAACGTACCTGCCGAGAATTCTCTGAGAATGGATTGAACTCATCCAGGGTACCTTGGTTCGCGTTGGTCAGCTGAGTGACTGAAGGATCCTGGAAAAGGAGAGAAAGAGAGACAAGAAGAAAGAATATTAATAGGTTTCCTGGAACATGACAGGGGTGTATGCTTAATTTTAGATGAGGTTCTTGGACCATTCTGTTTACAGTCTTGACTAATGTTACAGTCTTGACTAAGATGTGTGGACTTCAACTCCCAGAATTCCCCAGCCAGCCATGCTGGCTGGGGAATTCTGGGAGTTGAAGTCCACACATCTTAAAATTGTCAAGAAACACCCCTCCCTCCTAATCATGATGGCTGAGAACCAATGGTAGTTTCCTGTGCTCCCAGGTGGGTAACTAGACACCCTAAAACGGGCACGTCAGTCCCAAAATGAAGACAATTCTTAGACCCCCTCCCAGATCCGGGTTCCACCAAATGTAGCCACACCTTTTTGGCCGCCCTCCCGCTGTAAAAGAGGGGCTCTTGGCCACCCAATTGTTGCTTCTTCCTGTGCAGAGCACAACCAAACAACCTCCATTATAGCTTAGCTGGCTAGCTCAACTTTGCAAGCTCCATTTAATGAATAACTCCAGGCAAACAGCCCAAGTCCTGACACTCCCATGCCAAGCAATGTTGTTACGCAACTTTGTGAATCACTCCAGGGAGGGACACAGGTGCAAACGACAGGTAAGGAAGCCTGAAAACCAGCACCGTATTTTGGCTATGGAGATGGCCTGCCAAATTCAGGGTGGCTTGCCTTGAAGTAATCATGACTGTATAGAGTCCTGGACTTACAACTGTTCGTTTAGTGACCGTTCAAAGTTACGATGACACTGGAAAAAAGGGACTTATGATCGTTTTTTTCACACTTAAGACTGGCAGCATCCCCAGGATCACACGATCAGAATTGGATGCTTGGCAACTGGTTCATATTTATGACCCCCTTTTGCGACCCTCCCGACAAGCCAGATTCATTTTACAACCAGGTTATTAACCTAACAATGGCTGTGATTCAGTTAACAAATACGGCAAGGAAGGTCATTGTTGTTGTTAGTTGCCAAGTCGTGTCTGACCCATCGCGACCCCATGGACAACATTCCTCCAGGCCTTCCTGTCCTCTACCATCTTCTGGAGTCCATTTAAGCTCACGCCTCCTGCTTCAGTGACTCCATCCAGCCACCTCATTCCCTGTCCTCTCCTTCTTCTATTGCCCTCAATCTTTCCCAGCATTAGGCTCTTCTCCAGTGAGTCCTTCCTTCTCATTAGGTGGCCAAAGTACTTGAGTTTCAACTTCAGTATCTGGCCTTCTAAAGAGCAGTCGGGGTTCATCTCCTCCAGAACTGACCGGTTGGATCGCCTTGCAGTCCAGGGGACTCGCAGGAGTCTTCTCCAGCACCAGAGTTCAAGGAAGGTTGTAAAATGGGGCAAAACTCACTTAACCAAGGTCTGGCTTAGCAACAGAAAATTTTGGGAATTGTGGGTCGTACGTCAAGGATTACCTAGATTCTGCTGTCAACGCTGCTAACGTCGGATGTTTCTGCTTTGACAACATATGGAGTTGCAGCCATTTTCCTTCTTATGTTTTACTCTTAGAATAGAGTTAGAATTAGATGATACTGGGGGGGGGAGGAGGAATGTGCATGGGAGTTTAGTTAGACACAACAATACTGTAACTAGTGTGAGAACCAAGGTTTTTGAAATAAGAGATGGTAAGAATTGGCGGGCTGGAGAACTGGAGGGAGAGTCTGCATTTCAAACTAATTGGAGAATGTGATTTATGACTGTAAATTAGAGAAGGGAATTGTGCTTTGACACTATGTGCTCAGGGGAGGGGAATTCAGATTCTGGCTATGCTACGCTCCTCGAATAAAGATTCTTTAAGGTAAACAATGCCTCCGAAGTTCTTTGAAGAGTTTCATCCGTGGGAACTATGGCATCGGCTTTAAGTACCCACAAAGCTTAACACCACAGGAGGAGCAGCCGTTCTGAAAAGATATATCGGCGGAACAGGCTGAACAACCTGAAAGTCTGCTGAGTTGATTGGCAGCTTTATTGAAATGACAGATTCCCGGCTTTGTAAAAAGGAAGAAAAGCGGCTGGCGAATTGCATCACTTATTTTGTCACGCCGAGCTTGCCTAAGTGTGAAAGTTGGACTTCCTGAACAGGCTGGAACATGGAGGAAGCAGCTTAGTGCAAGGACATCAAAATGCTCCAGACAATTTTCTTAGTGACCACAGGAAGTTTTGAAATATTTTTTTTTCAATTTAAAAACAAAACAAAACAAACAAAACAAAAAAACTTTATAAAAGGAAGCTAGGCTGCAAATCAGAGCAAGGTCTCCCAGTGTTGTTATAATTTGTAAATGTGTCCTCAAGGCTTCATAAAGATCTCTTAGAGAGATACTGAGGCTCCAGTTCACCTCCTGGTTTTAATAGAGGTTTCGTCTATTTGCCTGGGCACCTCCTGGTATCTTTTTGTCTACATGTGTGTGTGTGTGTTTGTGTGTGTGTAAGTAAGTCTTCCACAACAACGTTTGTCTCTACCACACCCTCTCTAACCTCTAGATCAGGGGTGTCCAACCTCGGCAACTTTAAGACTTGTGGACTTCAACTCCCAGAATTCCCCAGCCAGCATATATGGCTGGGGAATTCTGGGAGTTGAAGTCCACAAATCTTAAAGTTGTCAAGGTTGGACACCCCTGATCTGGACAGTTATCCAGCTGTGTTGTGTGCCATGGAGACTTTCCCTACAATGCTTGGGAATTATTCCGTTATGTATTACAAAACCTATGCACAACGGCACAGTAAATTAGCTTGTGCTCCACAGTCCCACGCCCAGTTCAAGCAAACAAAACTTAAGATTCCAGCTGCCAACTCCTTTGGCAAACAAGACACCTTTCCAAAATGATGCCAAAACCACGCCCACCCCATTGCCGGCAATGGGGAAAAAGTCCCAATACGTCACATGATGTCACGAGTTTGAAATGCCTGATATATATAGATTATAATTTACACACACACACCACACATGTATGTATGTATAATCTATATATCTATATCAGGCATTTCAAACTCGTGATGTCACGTGACGTTGTGTGACGTATACACACACACACACATAGAGAGAAATGATATAGATATAGATATAGATATAGATATAGAGATAGATAGATAGATAGATAGATAGATAGATAGATAGATAGATAGATAGATAGACAGACAGACAGATGGACATAGATGGGCAGATGGGTAGATAGATATAGATAGGTAGGTAGGTAGGTAGATGGGTAGGTAGATGGGTAGATGATAGATAGATAAATAGATAGATAGATAGATAGATAGATAGATAGATAGATAGATAGATAGATAGATAGATAGATAGATAGATAGATAGATAGATTCAAGTTGCCTTCTAGAAATGGAGAAGCTCCCTGAGGGGAATTACTCATCACCAAGCAGCTCTGAGGCAACAAGGACTTAACAAAAGCATTTCTAAAGTGAGGGAGAAAAAGGACTCAAGAAGGCAGCAACCCGTCAATCAACACACCGTGTGAAGCCAGCTAATTTGGGACATTTTGTTTTTAGGCTGTATAGATGAGCTCTGCCAGGTACGGCTGCAATAGATGGGTCAGCCCCACAGCTTGCTTCCTGAGCACAGGGACATCGTCTGTCAATCAGCTGATTGGCATTGCCAAAAAAAGAGAGGAGCTGTTCAGAGGCCGGGAGAAAAGGCCAGATCGGTCACTGGCAATTGTGCAAATGGAGGGCTTGTCTTTGGCCCAGAGTCAAGATGCCTTTAGGACAGGGGTAGGCAACCTTGGCTCTTTTATGACTCGTGGACTTCAACTCCCAGAATTCCTGAGCCAGCATGGCTCAGCTTGGAAACCTCTCCCTGTTCCCCTCAGCACGGCTGGCTCAGGAATTCTGGGAGTTGAAGTCCACGAGTCATAAAAGAGCCAAGGTTGCCTACGCCTGCCTTAGGAGCACGGAAAAGTCTCGAAGACAATCACACGGAGGCTGGGATTTGGGTTGAGCAGTTTTCTTTGGGGTTAGAATCCTAGAATCCTTGGAGGTCTTCTAATTCCACAGCTGCATGCAAAATGCCCTTGAAGATGGGTAGCCAATTGCTGCCCTTCTTGGTACATAGAATCATAGGGCTGGAAGGGACCTCAGAGATCTTCTAGTTCACCCCCCTGCCCAAGTTAGGAGTCCTTATGGCAGTGGTGGCGACCCTATGGCACGCGTGCCAGAGGCGGCACTCAGAGCCCTCTCTGTGGGCACGCACGCCATGCCCCGGAAATGGCAACCGTCCTCTTCAACCAGCTGCCTAACTCACTGAGGTCCCACGTGGCCGGATGCATCCCAGCACCCATGCGCTCGCTGGCCTCTGTGTGGGGGGCCAATGGTGTCAGGCAGCAGCCGCCCCGGCCCCTGCCTCGCCTTGCCCTGCGACAATGGCACCCCCGCCCTGCCTCACCTTGCCTCAACCCGCAGGACGAGCTTCCTGCCCACCGCCCCACCCACCAGAGACGCCCTGGATCTCCCCCAACCCTGCCCGGCCCCCACAGGCACCCCTCCCCAGGAGCAACATTGAGCTGGCCACGCCCACCCTGGCCACGCCCACCCATCTGCCATGACTAGCGTGGCCACACCCGGCGGGCCACGCCCATCCGGCACCCGGCGATACATCAGTGGGTTTTGGGTTGCAGTTTGGGCACTCGGTCTCGAAAAGGTTCACCATCACTGCCTTATGGCATCCCGGAGAAATGACGGTCCAATCTTTTCTTCAAGACCTCCAGTGAAGGAGCGCCCATAACCCCAGGAGGCAAGCTATGCCACTGGTGAATTGTTCTCCCTGTCAGGAAATTTCTCATTTTCAAATTGGATCTCCCTCTGACCAGCTTCCTGACATTGCTTCTTCTCCTTCTGCCCTCAGGTTCTACGGAGAATGAATCAACTCCTCTTCCCTGTGATGATGTTCCTTCAAGTATTGGAAGATGGCATTCTGTCACACCCCAAGCTTTCTCTTTGTTAGGCTAAACAAATCTAGTTCCCTTAGCCATTCATCATAGGTGAAAATTGGAACAGCACAATCCCTATTTAGGATGATTAAGAAGACAGTGCTCATTGTATTCAACGGGACTCACTTCCTTGTACACTTAAGAATTACGCTCGTGTCGTGTTAGAAAGCTCATTATCATGGCATGCTAAATATTGCTTTCCTTCTGCTAATTTTCTGTAAAAATGGGTGTCATGAGCTGTGAATTGGCAGTGTTGACAGCGCAGGAGTAACTGGACCAAGCAACAGTTAAAAGCCTACAGGCTAATCCCAGAAGTAAAACAATATGAAAAAGATCAGTCTATTGAAAGCTATTCAAGCAGATCTGTGGTCCTCAAAAGAATTAATTGCTAAACTTTCCAATGGTAAAATCAGGGCTGAAGCCTATCTCATTAGATACAAGGTTTCCCAATGCCACAAAGTCGTTTATTTTTTATTTTATTTTTTAAAAAAAACTACTCCTAGAAGATCCTAAGCCTTGTATCAAAAGTTACAGAAGTATCTTCCTAGGAGCTGGCAATCTAGAATAAAAGGCACAGTATTTCAGAAGTGGAAATGCTACATTACACACACATGAAAATATCTGCAGAGATAACGCAGCACACTCATAAAAATTTCTTCTACAACCTATTGCCAAGAGCCCAGGGTAAAGAAAATGCAAGCCAGCTCGGGTGCCTTTGTTAACAATTCTTGTGTCTTGTTGCGAGGAAGAGAAGTTAATGGATTAAGAAAAATGTTACAAACAAACTCCGCAGCCAAAAGAGACTCTTTGAAAGTGACCTTCAAGCAAAAGAATCTTTTCTCCCCCAAAACAATAAAACTAAAATTCTTTCTTCCAAGGCTGGAGTAACTAAGCGGAAGTAGGAAGACGCTGGAACCACCCTCAGTGATCTATGTGTGTCTAAAAGAAGTTAGACGTCGGAGAAGATAAGAACAATTAAGGAGGGACACAGAGAACAGGTTACACAGTCCAGAAATGGAAGGAGTTGTGAGAAAGACGAGGAAATGACCCTGTCTTAATTTAGTATAAGATGAGACCAGTGTTTTGCAATCCTGGCAACTTGGAAGACTTCTGGATTTCGCCAAGAATTCTAGAAAACGAAGTCCACACATTTTCCAAGGCTGATAAACGCTGGATGTGGCAGAGAGAAACTAGAACAAGCTTTCAAGATTCTGAAATACAGGAAGTCCTCAACTTACAAGAGTTTGTTTAGTGACCATTCAAAGTTACGACGGCACTGAAAAAAGCGACTTAGGACTGTTTTTCACACTTAGGACTGTTTTTTGCACTTAGGACTGTTGCAGCAACCCCGTGGTCACGTGACCATTTGTGACCTTCTGACAAGCAAAATGTTGGGACTCTAGAAAGAGTACAGAGAAGAGCAACAAAGATGATTAGGGGACTGGAGGCTAAAATGTACAAGGAACAGTTGCTGGAATTGGGTATGTCTAGTTTAATGAAGAGAAGGACGAGGGGGACATGATAGCAGTGTTCCAATATCTCAGGGGCTGCCCCAAAGAAGAGGGAGTCAAGCTCTTCTCCAAAGGGCCTGAAGGCAGGACAAGAAGCAACGGGTGGAAACTAATCAAGGAAAGAAGCAACCTAGAACTAAGGAGAAACTTCCTGACAGTTAGAACAATTAACCAGTAGAACAACCTGCCTCCAGAAGTGGTGAATGCTCCAACACTGGAAGTTTTTAAGAAGAGACTGGACCGCCATTTGTCTGAAATGGTATAGGATTTCCTGCCTGAGCAGGGGGTTGGACTAGATGACTTCCAAGGTCCCTTCTGACTTTTTATTATTATTATTATTATTATTATTATTATTATTATTATTATTATTATTATTATTATTATTATTATTTCAACGGGAAAGCTGGATTCACTTAACAATCATGTTACTCACTGCAGTGATTCACTTAACAATTGTGACAAGAAAGGTCGTAAAATGGAGCAAAGTCACTTAGCAAATGTCTCAGCAACAGAAAAGTTGGGCTCAATTCTGATAGTAAGTCAAGTGTACATTAAAGTAGCATTCCTGGAATCCCTGTTGTGTCCATTTCTTGAGCTGGCCTATCTCAAAGGGCTGCCCAGATGCACAGAGACAATCACACTATCGCACTCAGATCATCATAAGCTTTATGTTTGTGTCCCACTTCTTTGACAGGGCTAAAATGGGAGTAATTTTATTTTACCCTCATACCAAATCCATAAATTAAGCTAATCTAGGGGGAAGATATGAGAAACTGGTCTTGAACAGGAAATTCCTACTCCTCTTAGGTCTAGATAAATTTACAATCAAGAGTTAAAACTTTATCTGGCATGGGTTCTGTTCCATTGTTAGGGGCTTGGAACAGCAAACTTCAAAGCCTTTGCAGCAGAATCCATGCTTTTCAGCAGAATTATGAGAAAAGCAACAGGAAATGTGTCTTAAAAGCTGTAAAGTCAAATAAAAGAGCAGATGAAATCTATGCCAGATTGTGAATAACAACACTCCTTACAGCAGAGTTTCAGTGACTAGTCATATTTAGCAAACAGTATATATCTTGCGTTTAAAAGGTCATGAGCAGCATACCAAAAAAGATGAAGAAAACACTTTGAAAAATAGGCCAGGAAATATCTTAGCAAAGCGGAACAAAGACAGCAAAAGCTTGCAGAGGTTCAGCAGCACAATCCCAAAACCTAGTTAATATTTCAAGAAAAACTGTGAAAATCACATAACAGTGGCTCTACTCATACGTAGCTTGCTGAACAGTTACTACTCTGACCAGGAACCTCAAACTGCAGATCAGAAGCCTCCTCTACAATCCTTGTTTATTTACCACCAAAAACAAGCATCATTTTTGTGTTACGTTATATTATCTATATATCCAACAGAGGAAAAAGCATTTCCATAGATCTCTTTACTCTCTGAATTTTACTTAGATTACATAAATCGTGTTAGTAAAAATGTAAAATATAGAAAAAAGGGGGAGGAGAGTTAGAAAGAAGTTCTTCAAGTTCAGTCCTTCACGTTAATTTGGGTAGGAAGATTCCGAAGCTGAAGTTGTTGGAGTAACCGAATTGAGTTGTGTGATATGATGACATACGATTTTCAGAGATGGATAGTTTGTGGCTTACAGTAATACAGGAAGCAAGCTATCATGTTAAAGCACAAAATGGCTTATTTGCTCCAGCGTATTATGTGAACAGAAGCAAGTATGTTTTTATTCCTAGGCCCAATGTTGCATTCACCCAGCTAAAAGATAGGGATCACAGCTAGAGAGCAGGAAACTGTAAATTAGCTGAAACCACAGCAAATGTTGGAGACAAACAAATTTCTTACATGATTGCAATTTATTTATATATTTGTATCTCACAGAGAGAGTCTGGGAAGCGTACATAGTAAAACAAAATACATAAAAATGAGTACATAAAAAACCATTAAAACCACCATTACAAATAAAAAGAAAAAAGATAAATGGTGGCAAACATACAGCGTGCAAAAGTCACACAGTCATCTAACTGGCTCCTCACTATCATAGGATCCCCAAGTTTGTTGATAAACCCATGTTTTCAGGACCTTCTGAAAAGTTAACGGGGTTGGGACTAGCCTCACCTTGTGGGAAAATGATGTTTCACAGGGTGGGGACTATGGAAGAAAAGGCTTTTCTCCTAAGCTCTTAAATATCACAATACCCTTAGATGCTGTTTTGGCTGTAAGAGACTGACATGGCTACTTCTTTGGATAAATCAGTTAACAAGGGATCTCCAAACTTGATAACTTTAAGACCTGTGGACTTCAATTTCCAGAATTCCTCAGCCACCCATGGCTCAAAGGTTGCCAAGTTTGGAGACCCCCTCCCTGGATTAAAGAAACAGATCGTCCCACTTTGCCTAGAAATTAGATTCACTAAAAATAAGCACATTTTATCTTTTCTTGGGGCGGNAAATCAGTTAACAAGGGATCTCCAAACTTGATAACTTTAAGACCTGTGGACTTCAATTTCCAGAATTCCTCAGCCACCCATGGCTCAAAGGTTGCCAAGTTTGGAGACCCCCTCCCTGGATTAAAGAAACAGATCGTCCCACTTTGCCTAGAAATTAGATTCACTAAAAATAAGCACATTTTATCTTTTCTTGGGGCGGGGAGGGGAAGAGTTTTATTTATTTCCGTGTGTATTTATTTATGAAATGCATAAGCCGCCCGTCTCACTCTTGAGCAACTCTTGAGTGGCTTACACCCTCATAAATCATGTTTTGCTTCCAGTTTGGCCCCTGTGAATGCCAGCTTGGAGAGAGAGAGAGAGAGGCGAGTTCCTGAGCAGGAAAGGAAACCGAGGCTCAGATCCTGACTTCACAGCTGACCTTTGCTCGGCCGCCCTTCCTACGACTATTTTTTCCTCTGCAAAGAAAGAAGCGAAATCTAAACGCGAAGCAGCAGCTCAGAAGCTGAAAAGGGCTACAAGATTGGGATGACAGGGCTGGGGGAACACCCACCCACCCACCCACACACACGACCCACACCCATGAATCCCTCTGGAGCCCCTTCCCCCCACCCTCCCCGACCCAGAATTCCCAGCCCGGGGGGTTGGGAATGATGGGAGTTGTAGTCCTAACCTATTTGTGGGGCGGGGAGTACCAGGTCGGGAATGGGGTGCCTTGCAGGCCCACTGGAGTCAGGTCACTTCATTGTTCCCCCCTCCCCATTCAGTATACTGTGGGGGGAGGCTAAGGTCTCCCCCCACCCACAATTAGAGCGAGGCCTACTCCCACCCCACCCACCCCCGCCAGGCTTACCTGGAAGGGATTGACGTCCACGGGATCCGCGAAGGGGTTCGCGTCGAAGGCCGACATGGCGGCTTTTTCCTTCCTCCCCGCTAACCGGGACGAAGACCCCTGCCGCACCTGTTTTCACCCGGGTCCGCTTCCTGCACCCTAGAAACCACACACTTCCGGGAGAAAGCTGGTTTCCGCCCCTTCGGGCTCCGGCCGCGCCTGCGCAGTGCCGCCTGGAGGGCGAGGCGCCCGTACTTTGGCACGTGACAAGGATAAGCTCCTCCCCCGCCTTGTGATCTCATCGGCCGGGCGGAGGAGGAAGAGCCAGGCGAGAAGGCGCATGCGTGCAACATCTCCCCCCCCCCTTAATCTATGTATGTTTGGTCTCCGCCTGCCTTCCGGGGCGTACAGGAAGATGGAGTTGCTGAGGAAAGGGGGAAAAAAAGAAGAGACATTGTGAGCATGCGCGGGCTTTGTGGGCATGCGCACGGCAGAAGGGCCTACTTCGGTACCGTATTATATGGTGTAATGGCGCGGGTGTTTATTTTTGTTTACATGAGGAGCTCTGATTGAGTTATAGTCCCAACCACATGGTTCAAATTACTTGAAAAGCAATTCTGTGTTACAAGAAGGGGCAGAAAAATAAATTAGGCTTGTCCTGCAAGCGATTTCAAATTTCAAATTGTTTATTACTGTCATGGGGCCAGATTATATTTCCAGTGATAATTCATTTTAATCTCAACCTAGTGTCTGTCATTGTTTTATTCCTTCAAAGCACATACATTTAAACTCCATAGGTTTTGGAGGACAAGAAGAAATAATCTTTTTTTCTTAATAAAGTAGTGAATAAACTTTCAATACATAAATAATAAAATATCCAGATTTATATTCTATTCTTCAATCTGATAAATAGCTTGTGAAAATATCTAAAAGACTTTCTTTTTTTTTTAACACAAACAAACCAAAAACACAAAATCAGGAAAAACTACTGCGGCATGGTAAATAAAAGACGAGCATAATTCAAAATCTACAAAAATGTTTCTACAAAGCACCCAAAAGCGCTTTGTGGATAAAATGCTGGATCCCTACTGAATTTATCTATGCTTTAACATAATCCAGATTGATTAAACTAACCCTGATTTGATTTCCATGCCAAATGAGAAACTAACCACAGGGACAACAGTCATATAACAGAGCCGAAACATCACAGTGGCTGCTGCTTTTGGTTGTTTGTAAGAAACTTTGGACTCTTGGAGCACAGAATTCCCAAAAATCAAAATATGCCCAGGCTAAAATGGGATGAAATTCTGGTTCCAGATGTCCTATGTAAGGATTTATATGTAAGAGTGTAGGTATATACATATGTAATATATAGCATGTCTACATGTGTGTTATGTATGTGTACACTTTTGAAAGCGGGCAACAGAATTTCATTTTTAATGTGTGCCAGTCAGCCCACAGTAAAAAAAAAAGACTATAAAGGTTATCTTATCTATCTTATCTAAGATTCTTGTCAAATGCTTGATGGAAACTGTTCCAGAATTACGCAGTTCTGAATCACAATACTTTTGTGATTTTGCTAACATTTTAAGATTCCTTGGGTTCATTTATTTTCCTTTGATAAAGAAACACCCCATGTTCTTTCTATTTTTTTTTCTTAAAAAACAGCTGGCTGTTCACTGGGGACCTTGAGATATTTTTTGAGGACAAGTTTTTTTAAAAAATTGTATTCACGGCTTTACTAAACAGAGTTACAAAGTGTCATATACACCAAGGTTTCTCAACCTTGATTATTTTCAGATGGGTGAACTTCAACTCCCAGAATTCCCCAACCAGCCATGGGGAATTCTGGGAAATGAAGTCCACTCATCTTAAAGTGGTCAAGGTTAACAAACATACACTATATCTATCTATCTATCTATCTATCTATCTATCTATCTATCTATCTATCTATCTATCTATCTATCTATCTATCTATCTATCTATCCATCCATCCATCCATCCATCCATCCATCCATCTCTCTATCTCTCTAATCCACGGGTGTCAAACTTGCCGCGACTCTTTTTGCATTGCAGGCAATGGGGTGGGTGCAGCTTTGCTAAGATGAAACTGGCCTGCGGGCTGGCAGTTTGACACCCCTGCCTAATCTATGTATCTCTCTCTCTCTCTATTTATCTATCTATCTAATCTATGTATCTATGTATATCTCTATTTATCTATTTAATCTATGTATCTCTAGCTCTATCTAATCCAGGTATCTATGGATCTCTATCTCTCTATATCTAACTATGTATCTATCTCTCTAATCTCTCTATCTCTATCTGTTTCTCTCTGTCATCTATCTTCATCATTCTATCTATCTGTCTCTCTCTGTCATCTATCTATCTATCTATCTATCTATCTATCTATCTATCTATCTATCTATCTATCTATCTATCTATCTATCTATCTATCTATCTATCCTATTCTACTATATAGTATGCAGACATAATTACGGCCTAGCCTTGGGAGGAAGCGGTTTATAGGAACTGCAGTCCAAATCCACGAAAGGGCAGCTGCACCGGTGGAACATCTGCCTGTCTTCTCTGCTTTGCGTTTAAGAGTTAAGATAACCTTTATTGTCATTCACCTTTATTATGTTTCAAAGGAGACCTTGGAAGATTTCCTAAAAGAAAAAAGGAAAAAAAAAAGCATTCCGGCTCCGAAGTCACTCCGGTTCCTCCCTCCTCGCTCTCCTCTCTCCTTCCTCACGATCTGCAGATTTGATTCTACCGGGCGCCGCTCCGGAGCGAAGAAACTACCTTTCCCAGCTTGCCCAGCCGGGGCCGGGAAGAGGCGTGGCAGCGGCGGCGGCGGCGGATCTCTTTTTTTCGCCTCGGCTTAGGCGAAGGATCGGGACGCCGTGGGAAAAGCCCAGGATGGCGGGCGAGTTAAGAGGTGAGTTTGCCGGGGCCGGAGGAGAAAAGCGCGAGGGAGGGAAGAGGGCGCAAAGCGAAGCGCAGGCCGTTCCGGGCGAATGCAAGCCGGCGCAGCTTGCAAAAGCGAAAGCGCAGCGCCGGGATCGCTTTGCAAATGAATGAATCTCGGCGGGGAAAAAATGCCCCAAAGGGCGGGGGTCTTGTGGGGGTGGGTGGGGTGGGTTTGTGGGGGCGCGCCTGCCGACAAGAAGCCCCCTTGCACCGGGGTGGAAAAGTCCTGATGCTCGAGCAGAGCAGCGCTCGTGGACTTTCGCCTGCCTAAGCGCTATATACTCTTATAACAACAACAACAACAACAATAAAGTTGGAAGGGACCTTGGAGGTCATGTAGTCCAACCCCCTGCTCAGGCAGGAAACCCTATACCATTTCAGACAAATGGCTGTCCAGTCTCTTCTTAAAAACTTCCAGTGTTGGAGCATTCACAGCTTCTGGAGGCAGGTTGTTCCATTGGTTAATTGTTCTCACTGTCAGGAAGTTTCTCCTTAGTTCCAGGTTGCTTCTCTCCTTGATCAGTTTCCATCCGTTGCTTCCATCCATTGCATCCATTGCTACTCTGGCGGGGTGGTGGGTGGTGGGCTGGTGGGTGGTGGATTTGGGGCCGGTGGGCGAGCTGAAAAGCGCTGAGGCCTGAGCAGACATTGCATTCATGGTCCTTAGCCTGCCTGTACAGGTAGCCCTCCGTTTAGGGTCACAACTGAGCCCCAAATTTCTGTCACTAAGCGAAACATGTTAACTGACCATTCCTTTAGTGACCGTTTGAAGTTAAACCGGCACTGAAAAAAGTGTCTAAGGACTGTGTTTCACGCTTACGACCATTAAAATAGAATAGAATAGAAAATAAAATAGAAAATAGAATATAGAATATAGAATATAGAATAGAATAGAATAGAATAGAATATAGAATAGAAAATAGAATAGAATAGAATAGAATAGAGAATAGAATATAGAATAGAATAGAATAGAAAATAAAATAAAATAGAAAGTAGAATATAGAATAGAAAATAGAATAGAAAATAGAATAGAACAGATTATAGAAAAGAATAGAATAGAAAATAGAATAGAACAGAGAATAGAGAATAGAAAATAGAATAGAATAGAAAATAAAATAGAAAATAGAATAGAATAGAATAGAAAATAGAATAGAAAATAGAATAGAATAGAGAATAGAATAGAATAGAATAGAAAATAGAATAGAATAGAAAATAGAATAGAATAGAGAATAGAAAATAGAATAGAATAGAGAATAGAAAATAGAATAGAATAGAATAGAAAATAGAATAGAAAATAGAACAGAAAATAAAATAGAAAATAAAATAGAAAATAGAATAGAATAGAAAATAGAATAGAATAGAATATAGAATAGAAAATAGAATAGAACAGATTATAGAAAAGAATAGAATAGAGAATAGAATAGAATAGAAAATAGAATAGCTTCATTGTCATTGTGTAACTCACAACGAAATTAAGTGCTGTCCACAGTGCACACTACACACAAGTAAAAGCCACACATAAGAATATGCGCACATCCTTCACATTCTATTCAAAAACAATCTTGCAAAAAACATCGCAGCCTCCCCCACGGTTCTGTGATCAAAATTCAGACAGTTGGCAACCGACTTGTATTTATGACGGTTGCTGTGTCCGGGGGGGGGGGAGGTGTCACGTGATCCCCTTTTGCGACCTTCTGACCAGCAAAGTCCATGAAGGAAGCCAGATTCATTTAATAACCGTGATGCTGATTTAACAACTGTAGTGATTCACTTAACCACTGTGGCAAGAAAGGTCGTTTAATGGGGCAAAACTCACTTAACCCAGGTTTCGCTTAGCAACAGAAGTTTTGGGGTCAATTGTGGCTGTAAATCGAAGACTACCTGTACTTTGGTGAGGTGGTGGTGGTGGTGATGTGGGGGGCTTAGCATGCTGTCTGAACCCGACCCTTGAGTTTTGTGGGGCTTCCCCCCTCCTCCCTGGGGTCAGTTTTCAGGACGGGGATTATAGTACCAAATGCTCGGGAGGGGTGGGGCAAGTATTTTTCCAGCCCCCTCCTGTGTCTGATCAAAGGGAATACCTAATCTTACTTAGAGAGGCTTCCTGTGGATCATGTGGTTTCCTTGCCCCCTTTCTGGTGTGTGTGTGTGTGTGTTTGTGTGTGTGTGTGTGGGGGGGGTTATGGGCCAGGGCCTGAGATTCAAAAAGGATGGGAACCCGGATATTGGGTGGAAAGTGACCGAAGACCCCCTCTTTGCAGTAACCCACAGTTCCTGCCAAGCTGACCTGGGCTTGGAAACTAAGCTGTGTTAAGCCTATGGGGGCCTGTTTGTATTCCAAATTATCTGGGAAATAGGTTTTTGTTGTTTTTTTTAAATCATCAAAAATCTTGAGAAAACCCAACGTGACCATTTTCATTCACAGCATCTTGGCTAGAAGGAGGTTTCAGGTGTGTCTCCCTGCAAAGATGCATAAACAATCCACCTTACGATTGACTATGATGTGTGAATCTGCCTTTGGGGCTTCGGTGGAGACATTTGTCCGGCTCTGCTTGCTGATGCTGGATCCGAAACGGAGACCTTTGGCAAAGAGACGTGAGCTACTGCTGTTTCTAAGCCAAAGGCAACTTCAACCCTTTGCCAGGCTGGCTGATGCATAATATTTCTGTCTGGGGAGGCAGGTTCCTCCCAACCTCTCTGGACTTTGCGTGGATGAATGCAGAGAAAAGTCTGCAGAAACCCATCGTGGTTTCTCACTGTCCGTCTGCTTTGAGATGTTCCCAAAATAGCCATTTATCTCCGGTCAAGTCAGACACGCGATGCTACCCTTTAAACCTGCCGCAGCTGTTTATAGCAAATCAAATGTCCCTGTGATCTTAATCCTTGTCATTCTTTATCCTTTCGCTTTTCTCTCTGTGAGAACAAATGGATAAAAATGGCCCAGTTTATTATTAAAAAAAAGGAGGGGAGAAATTATAATTTGCACCTTGTTGCACTACTTATTACCTTGCAGTGAAATCAACCCCTATTAACAGGCTGATGGATTCCTGGAACCCAGCAAAATAATTAAAACTTTAATCCTCGTTTTTGGAAATAAACCAAAGTTGGCTGGGTTCCTACAGTAAGTCTGGTTTTAAGAATCGTAATGCTGAGGTTTGCACGGCGCACTTTACACTTTGATTTAACTTGGAGGTTGAAGTGAGCAGAAAGAGCGTTAATAATTCTTCGCTGGGTCATGTCGTGGATTCACTTCTCTCTGTCATTAAAATTCTAAGGGAGGCTAAGCACTAGAGCAGGGGTAGTCAACCTTGGCTCTTTTATGACTCGTGGACTTCAACTCCTAGAATTCCTGAGCCAGCATAGCTGGCTCAGGAATTCTGGGAGTTGAAGTCCACGAGTCATAAAAGAGCCAAGGTTGACTACCCCTGCACTAGAGAGTGGTTATTTTCTGGTATGAGATGATCAGCTTGGAAAAATGAGCTTTCCGGAATTCAATCCAGACTGAGCAACCTGTAATCTTGGTTGTACGAGCCATCAGATGGTCAACAAGATGGCGACGCTTGTAAGATGGTGTCCTTTTGAATGACTTCTTCTCCACCTTCTTCCTCTTTTTTTGGCTCACGCAGTGTTTTCCCTGGCCTGTGCTGTGCAGAACTACGCATGGGGCAAGCCAGGCCGGGACAGCCAAGTGGCACGGCTTTTAGAAAGCAACGACCCAATGACACAGATTGAAGCCGACAAGCCATACGCCGAGGTGAGTCCTCATTCCTGCCGATCCACCAAGTTGCGGGCGTCCCTTTTTCAAAATTTCAGTCTGGTCTTCTTCCTTCACATGAAACCGAAGAAAACTAAGGAGTTAAGAAAACAGAACTAAAGAAAGCCTGACACAACTGTCCCCAGAGACAGGTTTTGAGAGTTATGGCTGTCTCCATGAGGGTGATGAGTCACGTCTGTTGATGTAGTGCCCTTGAGTTCACTGCCAACCCATGATTGTGTGTGTGTGTGTGTGTGTGTGTGTGTGTGCGTTCACGTTAGTATTCAGTCAGTACTAGTGACTGGCTGGATAGGTCTTTGCGGTTTTCTTGACACGTTTTTGGAAGTGGTTTGCCATTGCTGCCTTCCTAGGCCTGAGAGAAAGGGATTGGCCCAAGGTCGCCCAGTTGGCTTCATGTCTACGGCAGGACTAGAACTCCCCATCTCCTAGCAATTGGGCCAAAGTCATTCTGATGGCTTTCATGCCTAAGGTGGGACTGGAACTCACCATCTCCTGGTGATTGGCCTAATGTCATCCAGCTGGCTTTCATGCCTAATGCAGGACTAGAACTCACCGTCTCCTGGTGACTGGCCCAAAGTCACCCAGCTGGCTTTCATGCCTAATGCAGGACTAGAACTCACCGTCTCCCAGTTTCTAACCCCTAGATTACAAAGGAAACAAGTATGTATGGCCCATCCCTTTACTAAGACTGGCCATGCTTCACCAACTAGGTTCACTCATTCTGCGAAGCCATGATCGATCTAACCAGGATTACAACATCCACCACTGTTCATGTTACCCCAAACTCTGGGCTCTCTGGGATCCCCAGTGCCACCTTTTGTCTTCCTTTCCAGCTCTGGATGGGTGCTCACCCCAAGGGAGATGCTGTCATTCTGGATAACCGCATTCCCCAAAAGACCTTAAGCCAATGGATTGCAGATAACCCTTCCTGCCTGGGGTCAAAGGTGAAGGACAGCTTTCAAGGCCAGCTGCCTTTCCTCTTCAAAGTGCTGTCGGTCAATACCGCTTTGTCCATTCAGGCCCATCCCACCAAGGTAAGGAGTTTCCCTTGGATACGCGTGGGGATATTCTGCCATTTTCCCATTGCGGTTTCTCTTGGCTGATGGCTCTCAATGGGTTGATTGTCATGTCTTGGGGTTGGTGTTATTACCTGTCTGATTTTAACTCTTTTTCTTTCGGGGAAGGGAGGTATGTGGTGTGCTCTTATTTCAGGACCGTACACATTATTTTTTTGGGGGGGGGGGTGAGTTTCAAAACAGCTGAAAACTACATTGCATTTAGAAGGAGCTTTGGGTTTCAAGAAAAGGGTGGGTGTAGAGAACATGGCTTGACCATTAGTATTGTATAAATGCAAAGTCTTCTTTGACTCAACTGGTAGAACCCAAAACAGGTCTACATGCTTTTCTTGTTCACTTTATAGAAGTGATTTATTATTGTCTTCTTCTAGGAAGACTTTTTTGACTTCACAGTTTAACCCATAATCCTAGTACTGTAGGTTCTGTTTCCCATCCCAATGATAACCAGGTCTAAGCCTGCTTAGATGCTGCTCCTTAAATTGGGCTCTTCTGTTACGTATGACAAGGTCTATGAGGGCATTGGAGGGTCAAAGATTGACCTGCAAGTTCATCTTGGGTTCTATAACAAGTGATGATGGAAGCAGGAGAGAAGAGCAGGGTTAATTTCAAGGTCAACTTAGACCAATTGGGCTGGATCTGGAAGCATTAACAGCTGGATCCGACGATCAGAATGTTACGCAAGGACCGATCGTCAGGCCAGTACAGTTGACTTCCATCTCTGTTGGGTTCCAACTCAGATGCTTATAAAAGAAGGAACCTTTTGGATCCCATCTCCACATTTTATTGCTTCTGGGTCATTTCTGATCCTTTGGGATTGGGTTGCTAGCCTTCACTAGTCCACCTGTCTGTACATCTCAGGTTTCTCCCAGATTCTGCGATCCATCGATCAGAAAATGATCGGGTATCAGTTCAGTGATCAAAGCTGACTTGGACCCCATTTCTCCTCTCCTAGGAACTGGCAGAGAAACTGCACGCTCAGTATCCAGAACACTATCCAGACACCAATCACAAGCCTGAGATGGCCATCGCCCTAACTCCCTTTGAAGGCCTGTGCGGTTTCCGGCCTGTGGAAGAGATTGTAGCTTTCCTCCAGCGTAAGTCTGTAATAGGAAAGAGGGAAAGGAATCACCGGATGCACGCAAATCCTATTAAGATAAATGATCTGGCTTAGCAGATCCTGGGAGTTTTGGAGAGAGAGTTTCTTACTTAGAGCGAGGCGGGGAAAACGTTGCGTTGGAATTGTAGCTACCTCTCCGACTGATTAATGACATTTATTTGAGTTAAAGTAATAGTAGAGCAATATAACCTCATGCCTATGTTGAAACTTGAGATATTCAAGAATGGGGTTTAATGTAGAAAAGGTGTGAGTTCTAGACACGAATAGGTGGGGAACTTTTAGTGTTGGTGCAGTCACCATGTCTCCAAATAGTTAGTTTTCTCCAATTGGTGTCAACCTCACTAGGTAGATTACATTATGACACCCACTCCATCGGAAAGCTAAAACTACATGGATTGAAATTGGCTATCTCCACCAAGGTCATCTCTTGTGTTCTGTACAATCCAAGAGACTAAGTGGAAGATCAGCCATCCCTTGGTCATCCATGTGGTGGACTCCAACCATTTCTCTTTGGCCTTTCTACAGATGTCCCTGAATTTCGAGCTTTGATCGGCAACGTAGCGGCGGAACAACTGGAGCGAAGTGGGAGAGACGACCCCCGTGGTGTGTCAGCTGCTCTGAGAGTCTGCTTCACCAGGATGATGAAGACCGAGAAGAAGGTCTTTGTTGATCACCTCAACCAGCTGGTCAAGCGGATTTCCCAAGAAGGTTAGTCATGTAGGCGATCAGGAGAGCTTAATACAGAGGTGCAACCTGGATCCACGTTCCTGAAGTCCCGATTCTTGATAGTTCCAGCCTGAATCCTAAACTAAAGAAGGCTGGGTATTGTAGTTCCAGCCAGCTCTGGGCGTTTCAGTGGTTCCAAAACTGGCTTTATGAAGAATTGTAAAATTGGGCCTGGGGGATTAAAGAAAGGAGTACACCATTAAGAGCGCTCATCCAAGCTATGGGTTTCTTTAAGGAGCCTTTATGGTTGACGTCCTTCAAGATCCTTCCTCCCCCACCTGGACTTGAGCTTTGGTGGACCTCAACAAGGTTCCCATCATCCTGTTTCCAAATATTGGAGACACTCTTCACTATTCTGGGGACTTTGGGGGACTCTTTTGTAAGGTTAATCTGAACACTTACCACATATCAGGCACCATAAAAAGCCTACCCTGGACAGCCCTTGCTCAGCTCCCTATGTCTTGTTCTCCAGCTGCTGCAGGAAAAGATACTTCAGCCAGTTGTGGTGAGCTCCTTCTCAGGTTACACTCTCAGTACCCGGGCGATATCGGTTGCTTTGTTATCTACTTCCTGAACCAGATGAAGCTGCAGCCTGGGGACTGCATGTTCCTGGGAGCAAATGAACCTCACGCCTACCTCTACGGAGGTGAGTTTCTTCAGAGGAAGCAAGTATCTGCATGGAACGGGGTGGGAGAGAGTTGGCACTTTGGATCTCCCTTAACCAAGGGGCCAGGGTTGAGTTCCCACATTATCTGAGCCAGCATTCCTCAACCTTGGTCACTTTAAGATGTGTGGACTTCAACTCTCAGAATTCCCCAGTCACCCTGATGAGTCTCTCTCCTTATTCTGCCAGACTGCATCGAATGTATGGCTTGTTCCGACAACACGGTGCGTGCCGGTCTGACGCCCAAATACATCGACGTTCTGACCCTGTGTGAAATGTTGAACTACACACCAGCTCCTGCCAGCTCAAAGTTGTTGGTCCCTATTCAAAGCCGCCTGGATCCTTGCATCTCCCTGTATGACCCTCCCATTCCAGATTTTGCTGTCATGAAGGTAGAGGTAAGGCGTCCCACTCTCATAAAATCGGGCTGGTCACATAGTGACCCACTTTAAAGTTTACAGTTGTAACGGGCAGGCTCTGTTAGCGTCGTAAGTCGAGGATTATCTTTATGCAGTTTTCCCTCTTTGGCTGAGTTCTTGCTTAGAAATACTGAGTTTGTTTGGCTTTGGTGTAGTCTGTTGGGTGAATCCTAATCATCATGGTGCTATATCGTAATCCAGGTTTTAGGATGTAAAGCAATATGAGAACTCAGCTAGTTGTTTCATTCATAGAATCATGATTAAGCAAACCATAGCTTAATGTGACTCCAAGAAATCACTAGCTAAGAGGTTAACATAACAGGTAGACCAATTTCTCTGAGCAGAAAAGAAGGAGGATCGTTTATTCTGGTAGCATCCCCAAAATACCTTTTGGGAGAATTATTCGGGATGCTTGCAAATGTAAAAGGAATTCTGAATTTGGTCTGTTCCAGCTTCAGCTGCTTCCTGTTCTAGTTTCAGCTGCTTCCTGTTTGTTTCTCTTGCTTCTGTTCGTTTCAGTTGCTTCCTGTTTCAGTTTCAGTAACTTCCTGTTCAGTAACTTCCTGTTCCAGCTTCAGCTGCTTCCTGTTCCTTTCTCTTGCTTGTTTTATTTGCTTCCTGTTTGTTTCACTTGCTTCCTGTTCCCACTTCAATTGCTTCCTGTTCCACTTTCAGTTGCTTCCTGTTCCAGCTTCAGCTGCTTCCTGTTCCTTTCTCTTGTTTCAGTTGCTTCCTGTTTGTTTCAGTTGCTTTCTGTTCCTTCACTTGCTTCCTGTTCCATTTTCAGTTTCTTCCTGTTCCAACTTCAGCTTCCTGTTTCTTTCTCATTTGTTGCTTCCTGTTTATTTCACTTGCTTCCTGTTCCTGCTTTCACTTGCTTCCTGTTCCAATGCAGGAAGACTGTTCTTTTTTCTTACTTCCCGTGTCGAGCAACACCTCTGCTTTTTCTTACAGATCCCTTCCTCCATCAAGCTGTACCTCATTTCGGCCATCGACTCGGCAAGCATCCTGCTGGTGGTCCAGGGTTCGGCCGCCGGCACTTCCACGGCCGCTCTATCTGAAATAGCTCTGCGCCCCGGCACTGTGCTGTTCATCTCTGCCAACGAGAGCCTCTCTTTGCATTTTAATTCGGCCGACGGGATGGTTCTCTTCCGGGCTTTCTGCCTCTTATAATAAGGGACACCGAGCCATTTTCCTCCTTAGAGTAATTCAAGATCAGTAGAAGCTGCACCTCTCCCATTTGTTTCACCCTTCAGAGACTGAGGCTCAGGCTGTTTTTGAATATCAACGGTCTTCTCTCCTTGGCCACTGCTACATTTGTCCATGGCTCCAAAAATGTAAGGTTGGAAATGCTTTAGTAGCCCTGCCGCCCCCGAAGTGGAGGCACACACGGAGGCTGTGGGCAGTGCTTTGTTTTCCTGCGTTGGCAAAGAACGCAACGTCTCAGTAGATGCTTCTCTGGTGTCATGCTTCTTTGAATAGTAGGGTTGTGGTCTCTGTATCTTAAGACTAAAACAGTGTTTTTTTTCAGTCTTGGCAACTTGAAGGCGGGTGGACCTCAACTCCCAGAAACCTCCCAGACTTAAGGCTTGCAAATTAATGGGGTGGTTGAAGAGGGCCACACAGTAATCAATGATAGTGTAATGTGGGAAAAATTGGTCGTCATGTGATGATTTGCCTAATGACCGCACTAATTCGGCTCCCAATTGTGGCCAATCAAAGCTACCTGAAATGTTTTCACTGGACAAGCTTTGGACCCTGTACTATCCTCTTTCACACACACGCACAAACACTGACCCTGGCCCTTACCCTGGACCCTGATAAGCATCCTAACTGTAGACTTTTTGATCAACACATTATACATCTTAGTGAGTCTAGCCTTGAATACTGTGCCAATCCAACCATCACTTTAAGCCACGATGTTTGGCCTAGTGGCTAAGGCACCAGACTAGAAACCAGGAGACTGTGAGTTCTAGTCCTGCCTTAGGTGTGAAAGCTGGCTGGGCGACTTTGGGCCACTTTCAGCCCAACCCACCTCATAGAGGTTGTTATATGGAAAACAGGAGGAGGAAGGAACAAAAATAATAAAGGAGGAATAAAAATCAAATAAATAAAAGTAAATAATACTTTTGTTTACCCAGGCGTGACAAGCTATTTCCTGGTGTGTTTTTTTAATAGCATGCGATACAAACCCAGTTTATGGATGAATAAACTGATCTAAAGTCTAGTTGGCATTCTTACTGTGATTAGAACATCAGTTTCAGAAAACAAAGGTATAAAGTATGTAGAATAGAAGGTACTTTATTTGATAAGACTCTTTCCTTGGTTAGACTGTACAAAAAAAAAAAGACACACAATTAACCGAGTACACATTAAATATCCCATAAGATTGTCCTCTGTGCTGTTCAGTTTTTTTTTTTTAAAAAAAAAACCTTCATGTAATGCATTTTAGTGCTTTAAGGCAGCTTTAAAAATAAACTCTACTGAGCAGATTTAATGGGGTCGATTCTAAAAATGCTTGTAGAATCATCCATTACATCAGGGGTCTCCAGACTTGGCAACTTTTAAGACTTGTGGACTTTGACTCCCAGAATAACGTGCTAGCTGAGGGATTCTGGGAGTTGAAGTCCACAAGTCTTACAGTGGCCAAGTTTGGAGAACTCTGGACTAGATGATCGTTAAGGTCCCATCTAAGCCTTAAATTCTGAGCGTCTATGAAGATACACATCATTAAAGCTTATTGAACAAGCTGTGCATGAGTAACACAGACTCCGTTGTGAACATCATAGTTTATGTCCTGGACAAACCACATGTGGTGATCTGGCTAACAAAGAAGCCTTTTTTCCTAATAAATAAATGAAACAGCAGCTTTTTTTTTAAGCGAAACCAAAGATATTGGTTTAGCTTAGTACAACTTTCACCACTCTACTATAATATTTGCCACTATTAGTACAACTTTCTCCAACCTAGTATTTCCTTCCCCCCTCGGTGGTTAAGACTTCAAGTCTGAATTTCTACCAGCTGCAATGCGGCACAGATGGAGGGAGCAGATTGGGAAATGCTGAGTTTATAGCTCTAGCAAGCCAATTCTGTAAAGATTTGTAGATACAAGGTCACTTGTTTAAAAATTAACTTGCTGGTGATGTGTCCCAGCAGGGCCAAAAAAAAAAAACCCCACCTCAAACCAGTGTACCTGCTAGTAACTGATCTTGGATAGTTTGATTAAAAATAGCTGGAGAAATCAGATTTGGGATTGACAAATCCAGATAACCAGTAGATGGCAGCCTAGAAGCAGCCATACTGTGTGTTTTGGCTGCCATCTAATGGCCATCCGCGGCTTTGCAAGCCACGTTGGGAAGCTCCTAAAAAGGACTGCATAATTTGCAGTGGCATCTTTGTGTTTCACCCCGGACCGTGTCAACCGAAGCCGGAGAAGTTGTTGACTTTGAGAGGGGTCTACGACAACTCGCCACGGCCAACTTGCCATGGACGACTTACTACGGGACGAGAGTTACTAATATTGAAGAAACGGTGGGACAGAATCATTTAAGAAAGGACGCAAAAGGAGGGGCAGAATGAAATGTGAACGGCCAAAAAAAAAAATAGAATTATTTTTGAAAAACTTATTTTAAACAATTAAATTGAATTGCTGAATTGTCCCGTGGCAAGTTGCCCTAGTCTGCTTTGAGAGAGTCACAAGACACAAGCCTCAAGAGCAAGTTGTGTGTATGAGGAAGAAATGGGCTTAATTGGGGGGTGGGGCTGTGACCAGGAGCGAGATATGTTTAGGATGTCCACACTGGGACATCCTCAAATTGCAGGGATCCAGCTGAAGAACTCTTGATCTTCTGTGATCAAACTGGGAGATGACATTGAGTTCCCCCCAACCAGTGAAGCAAAGATGGACACGTTCATGTCGATGAACTCCACTACCCCCTTGTAGAGTACAACAGCTCCCACCCAACATCCAGAAATCGCACCGCACATTGTCACTAGAGATGGACATGCCAGCTGTTCCATCAACGTCTCTTGAGTCGTCAGCTGAGACATCTGATGGAAAATGGTTAAAGACAGACCATTTCTGTTCTGTGTCAGTCAGTGCTGGAGATCTAGGAAGACTAGATCTTAACTCAGTACTGCTTACCACACAAGTTACACACTTCCAACAGTCTATGCAAGCTCCTAAAACTCGTCCTTTCCTACAAGAAGGTCCAGAGGTGTCCCCTTCCATGGGTTAATTTAACTCGGACTACAGTCCCTTGGTGGTCTTCCCAAGATGTTCCTAAGCATGGGGATGATAGGACTTTCATCCATTTGAAGGACATTAGAGAACATTAAAAGTTAACAGATATTTCAATAACACGAGAGTTTTACGTGACCTACAAAGCTGAGGCCAGGTATCTTAAGAAGGTTCAAGCTTCTCCTCCTCACTTAGCTTCTCCTCTTATACCTGCCCAAAATAGGAAGTGGGTCCCAAGCTACACCAAATCCCATCTAGCAAGTAAATCAACTCTTCAAAGATGGTCCACATTAAGGCCTATAGTTTCCCAAAACATTTGCCCAACTGCCCACCGATCTGAGAGAATCAACCTTCAAACAGAAGGGTAAGCTATTGCTAAGGTTATGTTGCCTTGAGGTCCTTCAGGAGGTCAATTAAAGGCTGAATACTAACTCAGGCATCTTCAACCTTTCTTTTTACTTCCTAAAGAGAACGGAATGAATGATCCAATGGTTCTAGAAATTAAAACCATTAACCGGGTGGTTGGAGACCAAGAGAAGGCCCATGTCCTCAAGAAACGGGGCACAAGCTGCTCTGCCCTCTTGTGCAAGACAAAATCTCCATTCTAAGGAGGTCCTGCAGAAACATCTCAAGAACCTCTCTCTCCTCAGAAAAAGCAACCGAGGACTAAAATCTCTTTCCTCTGCCTCTACGCAGCATTGAGGGTTTTCTTCCCCTTCGGTGTATTGACGTCTGCAGCCCCAAATATATGGTAAACCTAGTATCGAAATTGCCATTGTTCGCTTTGACACGCACACATGCACGCACACAGTTTTCCGTTCACCTTTTATGGGGAGAGACCCTTGCCTTCTGGTTATTCCTCAGGAGTGCCGAGCATGTCCAGAGAAGCAACTCTCTTTGCTAAGGGCATCCACCAGCCTCCAGAATACTTACACTTCATACATTTCTACGTTGCACCAGAAGACGCCTGGAGCTCTAAGCAAGGCACCAACAGCGCACTCCCTTGCCCTTCCAGGGGCTGAATCTCTAGGGTTGCCCCCCGTCCCACCAGTTTGACCTAAAGTTCAGTGCTGGGCTCAGCAGAGATCCAAAAAAAAAAAAAAAAGAGGAATTGGGAAGAAAAGTGCTGAATTCTTGACCCGTGTAGTGCAGTCCTCCAAGGCTTCTCCCTATTGGATGGAGCAGGAGGCGGAGTCGCCAAAGCAACAGGAGCACGGTGAGGATGAAATGGGCTTCGGGGGAATCAGGTCGAGATCCTCGTCGTCGGGGATCTCATCCAGGCGGTAGCCGTCCTGCAGCAGTTGGCGACTGAGATCCTGGTTGACCTGAGGGGAGGAAAAATGGAATCAATACACATCTTAACTGGTAGAGTGAGGTGCTGACCAAGAAACCAGCAGACTCTTAATCCCACTTTAGGAATGAAAACTGGCTGGGTGACTTTGAGCCAATCACCAGGAAGAGGGGTGAGTTCTAGTCCTGCCTTGGGCATGAAAACCGGCTGGGTGACTTTGAGCCAATCACCAAGAAACTGTGAGTTCTAGTCCTGCCTTAGGCATGAAAACTGCCTGGGTGACTTTGGGCCAATCACCAGGAAGAGGGGTGAATTCTAGTCCTGCCTTAGGCATGAAAGCCAGCTGGGTGGCTCTGGACCAATCACCAGGAGACAGGGAGTTCTAGTCCTGCCTTAGGCATGAAAGCCAGCTGGATGGCTCTGGGCCAATCACCAAGAGATGGAGAGTTGTAGTCCCATCTTAGGCATGATAACCGGCTGGGCGGCTCATAGGAGAACTAACCCAGGGAATAATTATTAAATCAATAAATTATATTATTAAATTATAAAAGACCAGACTTGCCTCGGCCGAGGAGTAACCAGAAGAGCATCTAGATTCCAGGTCATCGCTAGGAGAAGAAAATTAAGGATCAGTTGAAAGGATATTACAAGCCCCATTTTCAGTTGCCCATGCGCCCATAAAAAAAAATCAAATCAAAGGGCTTCCCACAACACGGTGAGAAACTATCCTGTGTTTGACCTGCATTTTTCAGTCAAGATTTGGGAGAGGCTGCTTAGGGTAAGCTATTTATTCTTAGAGTGGAGAGCTAATCCACTTTCTTTTTTTCCAGACCCCAAAAGTCAAGCAATGCTTACATGCCTCTCACCTGTCGGAATCCAGGGCCACCAGGGTTTCATCTGAGGTCTGGCTGAGCGCAGTGTAGCCCTTGTTGAATTTCACCGTCCTGATAAAAGGAGGAATCGCCATGAAACACTGATATGCAGGAAACCAGAAAGTGCCTTTTTAAGTTTTACGTGTTTATTCAGCTGAATAGAGACGGACCCCTCTAAAATGAGGGGAGCAACAAATGACAAGAAATCCTTGTATTTATGCTGTATAATTACATCAGCAACCCATCCAGCAAAGCTGACACACATAAGATAAAGATTGCACCCAGTAAGTCTGGCATACTGTAGATAAGAAGGGAGAAAGCAGAATTAGCTAAACATGTTCTCATTGGAGTGTTACTTAAAGATATTGTATGTTCTTGGGTGGGTTAGGACAGGGCTTTTCAACCTTTTCACCCATTGTGCCACTTTTAGGATATGGCAACATCCGAGTGCCACCAGTCGCCTAGCAAGGTGTCAAAAACTTGATGACTAAAAAGAAACAAAAACGGAAAAAGTGATAAAGTACAGGTAGTCCTCGACTTACAACAGTTCGCTTAGTGACTGTTCGAAGTTACAATGGCACTGAAAAAAGTGCCCCCCAAGGCACAGCCGAGCAAGACACCTGCCTGCCCACCCGGCGGCGCTCTTCCTCCTGTCCGAGGTTTCCATTGTTGTGAGCATTTCTGTTGAGGATTGGCAGCGGGGGTGGGGTGGGGGGTGTTTGGTTTTTATTCCCCCCCCCCCCGTCTGCTGGGTGGTTGCAGCAGGTTTTGGTCACTTCACATGACCCTGGGACACTGTGACCGTCATAAATATGAATCAGTTGCCAAGCATCTGAATGTAAATCACAAGACCCTGGAGAGGCTGCAACAGTCCAGCTGATCGGCGCTTCTTTTGGGCTCAGCAGAAGAGCCAGGATCAGTGCTGCTTTCCAGCTGATTGGTGCTTCTTCAGGGCTCACCAGAAGCACCAGGATCAGCGCCGAGCTCCAGCTGGAGCCTGACGCTGATCCTGGCGCTTCCGCTGAGCCCTGACAGCCCTGCAGCTCCAGCCATCTCTCACTCAGGCTTGTGCAGTGTTGCCACCGGTTCAGCTCATCCCCACTACCACTTTTCTAGGATGGTCGCGTACCACCTGCCAGGTGCCAATGTACCACAGGTGGTATCCGTACCACTGGTTGAAAAGCCCTGGGTTAGGACATTGGGTGTTGTCCTTGCTATCCTTTCCTGACCCTGAATCCTGGATTACAAGTGACCAAAGAGAGAGAAGCCATCTATATGTATTCATAATTAATACTGTCCCCTAATTCCTGGTCATCAACACTGCCGCGCAGCAGCAATGGAAGAAGACAGCATAACTTTGGAATATTTCTGCTTGGAAAGACAGGATTCCCTGCAGGCTTTGCATTCCTCACTTCTGCACTTGGTTGTCAAAAGGTGCTTTTTCACGAGGCAACTGGGCTGTCTTTTTTTTTTCCTCTTCTAAAAAGGCGTTTCGCTTCTCATCTAAGAAGCTTCTTCAGCTCCGAGTATACATCTTTCCATTCTCCACCATCCAGCCAGAGCTGAAGAAGCTTCTTGGAGGAGAAGCGAAAACATTTTCAAAGAAAAACAAGAAAGTCCAGTTGCCTCGTGAAAAAGCACCTTTGAGACAACCATGACCGAGATCAGGGGTAGGCAACCTTGGCTCTTTTATGACTCGTGGACTTCAACTCCCAGAATTCCTGAGCCAGCCATGCTGAGGGGAAAGGGAGAGGTTTCCAAGCTGAGCCATGCTGGCTCAGGGATTCTGGGAGTTGAAGTCCATGAGTCATGAGGGGGCCATAGTTCTCCCACGCTGGCTCAGAAATTCTGGGAGTTGAAGTCCACGAGTCATAAAAGAGCCAAGGTTGCCTAACCCTGACCTAGATGATCGAGAATCTCCATAGACCTTATGCACCTGGTCCTGAATAAAAAGGGATTCCCTCCCCCAGATTCACAGGCACCACTTTTCAAGTCCCCCCCCCTGCATCCTGGCCAATCCTGAAAAGTAATCATCAGCGCCATTCAAGAAGAAAAGGACACGAACTCTGACCTCACGGCTCCTGGTTTGGGCTGTTGCCGGACAGCTCCTGAAAAGACTCCCTTTTTCCGCAGCATTGCCTTGGCCATCTCGCGATGTTTTTCTGCGATACCACAACAACATGGAAGAGAAATTCAGCAACTGGCTGTACTCTTTGGGCTTCTGTTCAATAACCCACGGTTTGGAGCATCTCACGTTTTTTTGCCAAAAATCAGCATTTGCTTCCGGTTTGGGGCAACACAGGTCAATTGTGAACAATTGGTTCACTTGACACTCACATAAAGTGTGATCCCTCCTTCATGTATTACTGCCTTGTGGTGGCGAAGGGGCTTGCGTAATTCAATGAAGCTATGAGCTGTGCCGTGCAGGGCCACCCAAGACGGACAGGTCATAGCAGAGAGTTCTGACAAAATGTGACCCACTGGAGAAGGAAATGGCAACCCACTCCAGTATCTTTGCCATGGAAACCCCATGGATAGCACCAAAAGGCAAAAAGAGATGACGCTGGAAGATGAGCCCCTCAGGTCGGAAGGTGTCCAATACGCTTGCTCCTGGGGAGGAAAGCTATGGCAAATCTAGACAGCATACTAAAAAGCAGAGACATCACCCTGCCAACAAAAGTGCCATGGTTTTCCCAGTTGCAATGTATGGATGTGAAAGTTGGACCATAAGAAAGGCTGAGCGACAAAGAATTGAGGCCTTTGAACTCTGGTGCTGGAGAAGACTCCTGCGAGTCCCCTGGACTGCAAGGCGTTCAAACCAGTCAGTCCTAGAGGAGATCAACCCCGACTGCTCTTTAGAAGGCCAGATCCTGAAGTTGAAACTCAAGTACTTTGGCCACCTAACAAGAAGGAAGGACTCACTGGAGAAGAGCCTGATGCTGGGAAAGATGGAGGGCAATAGAAGGGGACGACAGAGAAGGAGGTGGCTGGATGGAGTCAGTGAAGCAGTAGGTGGGAGCTTAAATGGACTCCAGAAGATGGTAGAGGACAGGAAGGCCTGGAGGAACGTTGCCCATGGGGTCGCGATGGGTCGGACACAACTTCACAACTAACAACAATAACAAAAGTGTGATCCACTGCATGACCCTCATAACCTATGACCTTAACGGGCAGGGTCCATTACAGTCCTGAGTTGAGGACGATCTATAAAGAGCACACTTCTGGAGAGGTGGAGAAAAACCGCGTGTGCTTTTACTTACGTAGCTTATCCTGAATAGAAGATGGTTTGTTCATAATGTAGGGACCTCTTTTCTCTACCGGGGGGTCCCGGCACATCCTTCGTTTGTCCATTTGGCCCTGAAAAAGGAATGGGGGGGGAAGGGAGTGAGAAGTTGGAACAGCAGTTGCATTGGACATTGGCCACGCCAGAAATAAAACACAAAAAGGGCAACATTAGCAAGAAGCTTGTTATTGTCATTGTTGCTTACATGTAATTTTGTTGCTTATATATTATCTACCCAAAAGCTGTGATTGGATTTAGTACTTTTGCCTGCTGGATCCCTCCCAAGGATCTAGGGCAGGGGTCTTCAAACTTGGCCCTTTTATGACTTGTGGACTTCAACTCCCAGAATTCCTCCCAGAATGCCTGGCTGAGGAATTCTGGGAGTTGAAGTCCCACAAGTCATAAAAGGGCCAAGTTTGAAGACCCCTGATGTAGGGATAGTATTGTCTTAATATATAGGCTGTTTCAAGAAAGGCGACATTTTTGTAATTGACAAGTTGAGTTTCTCTTCATTCCTACTGGGTCAAGTAGCTGGACCCGGCTACCGGCGTCTCGTAAATCATTATTAATAGCTGAATGGAGTGAGGAACCCAGCTAGCTGTATACTAGATCTACTGTTAGGGCACAAAGACTGTCCACCTCCGGGAAGACATACCTCTAGACCTCGACTTACAACAGTTCGTTTAGTGACTGTTCCAAGTTACAACGACGCTGGAAAAAAAAGTGACTCAGGACCGTTTCCCTCCACATTTTTATACCCTCCCGCACTGTGCCGGGCTGGGAAAGCCTGGATTCTCCATCCTTGCTCTTAACGTCTTGGCCGTTTCTGAATGGAGCCTCCACAGCCAGGAGCAGTCTACCCTCCCTACAGCCGTCTCCGCCAATAGGAAGACGAGAAGAAACAAGAGGCTGAGGGAGGCGGGGGGGGCGGTTAAGAGGAATAAAGGACCNACCTTTGAGACAACCATGACCGAGATCAGGGGTAGGCAACCTTGGCTCTTTTATGACTCGTGGACTTCAACTCCCAGAATTCCTGAGCCAGCCATGCTGAGGGGAAAGGGAGAGGTTTCCAAGCTGAGCCATGCTGGCTCAGGGATTCTGGGAGTTGAAGTCCATGAGTCATGAGGGGGCCATAGTTCTCCCACGCTGGGTCAGAAATTCTGGGAGTTGAAGTCCACGAGTCATAAAAGAGCCAAGGTTGCCTAACCCTGACCTAGATGATCGAGAATCTCCATAGACCTTATGCACCTGGTCCTGAATAAAAAGGGATTCCCTCCCCCAGATTCACAGGCACCACTTTTCAAGTCCCCCCCCCTGCATCCTGGCCAATCCTGAAAAGTAATCATCAGCGCCATTCAAGAAGAAAAGGACACAAACTCTGACCTCACGGCTCCTGGTTTGGGCTGTTGCCGGACAGCTCCTGAAAAGACCCCCTTTTTCCGCAGCATTGCCTTGGCCATCTCGCGATGTTTTTCTGCGATACCACAACAACATGGAAGAGAAATTCAGCAACTGGCTGTACCCTTTGGGCTTCTGTTCAATAACCCACGGTTTGGAGCATCTCACGTTTTTTGTCAAAAATCAGCATTTGCTTCTGGTTTTGGGCAACACAGGTCAATTGTGAACAATTGGTTCACTTGACGCTCACATAGAGTGTGATCCCTCCTTCACAGATTACTGCCTTGTGGTGGCGAAGGGGCTTGCGTAATTCAATGAAGCTATGAGCTGTGCCGTGCAGGGCCACCCAAGACGGACAGGTCATAGCAGAGAGTTCAGACAAAATGTGACCCACTGGAGAAGGAAATTGCAACCCCGTCCAGTATCTTTGCCACGGAAACCCCATGGACAGCATCAAAAGGCAAAAAGATATGACGCTGGAAGATGAGCCCCTCAGGTCGGAAGGTGTCCAATACACTTGCTCCTGGGGAGGAAAGCTATGGCAAATCTAGACAGCATACTAAAAAGCAGAGACATCACCCTGCCAACAAAAGTGCGTATAGTCAAGGCCATGGTTTTCCCAGTTGCAATATATGGATGTGAAAGTTGGATCATAAGAAAGGCTGAGCGACAAAGAATGGAGGCCTTTGAACTCTGGTGCTGGAGAAGACTCCTGCGAGGCCCCTGGACTGCAAGGCGATCCAACAGGTCAGTCCTGGAGGAGATCAACCCCGACTGCTCTTTAGAAGGCCAGATCCTGAAGTTGAAACTCAAGTCCTTTGGCCACCTAATGAGAAGGAAGGACTCACTGGAGAAGAGCCTCATGCTGGGAAAGATGGAGGGCAAGAGAAGAAGGGGACGACAGAGAAGGAGGTGGCTGGAGGGAGTCACTGAAGCAGCAGGCGTGAGCTTAAAGGGACTCCAGAAGATGGTAGAGGACAGAAAGACCTGGAGGAACATTGCCCATGGGGTCGCGATGGGTCGGACACGACTTCCCGACTAACAACAACAACAAAAGTGTGATCCACTGCATGACCCTCATAATCTATGACCTTAACGGGCAGGGTCCATTACAGTCCTGAGTTGAGGATGATCTATAAAGAGCACACTTCCAGGGAGGTGGAGAAAAGCCACGTGTGCTTTTACTTACGTAGCTTATCCTGAATAGAAGATGGTTTGTTCATAATGTAGGGACCTCTTTTCTCTACCAGAGGGTCCCGCCACATCCTTCGTTTGTCCATTTGGCCCTGAAAAAGGAATGGGGGGGGGGGGGAAGGGAGTGAGAAGTTGGAATAGCAGTTGCATTGGACACTGGCCACGCCAGAAATAAAACACAAAAAGGGCAACATTAGCAAGAAGCTTGTTGTTGTCATTGTTGCTTACATGTAATTGTTGTTGCTTATATATTATCTTCCCAAAAGCTGTGATTGGATTTAGTACTTTTGCCTGCTGGATCCTTCCCAAGGAACTAGGGCAGGGGTCTTCAAACTTGGCCCTTTTATGACTTGTGGACTTCAACTCCCAGAATTCCTCCCAGAATGCCTGGCTGAGGAATTCTGGGAGTTGAAGTCCCACAAGTCATAAAAGGGCCAAGTTTGAAGACCCCTGATGTAGGGATAGTATTGTCTTAATATATAGGCTGTTTCAAGAAAGGCGACATTTTTGTAATTAACAAGTTGAGTTTCTTTTCATTCCTACTGGGTCCAAGTAGCTGGACCCGGCTACCGACATTTCGTAAATCATTATTAATAGCTGAATGGAGTGAGGAATCCAGCTAGCTGTATACTAGATCTACTGTTAGGGCACAAAGACTGTCCACCTGCGGGAAGACATACCGCTAGTCCTCGACTTACAACAGTTCGTTTAGTGACTGTTCCAAGTTACAACGACGCTGGAAAAAAAAGTGATTCAGGACTGTTTTTTCCCCACATTTTTATACCCTCCCGCACTGCGCCGGGCTGGGAAAGCCTGGATTCTCCATCCTTGCTCTTAACATCTTGGCCGTTTCTGAATGGAGCCTCCACAGCCAGGAGCAGTCTACCCCCCCTACAGCCGTCTCTGCCAATAGGAAGATGAGAAGAAACAAGAGGCTGAGGGAGGCGGGGGGGGGGCGGTTAAGAGGAATAAAGGACCCAAACCAGAGCCACCCCCCCACTCCCCACCCCCACCCCCCATTCA